TGAAGTCAGGTCTGAAGAAGATGTGCCGGAAGCAGAAGAGGATAGTTTGGATGGGAACCCAAATGGAATTTCCCAGCAGTCATTTAACTCATCCCCTCATGCCAATAGAATGACATCGAGTAAAGATCTCCTTAATTTGTCAATGTCCTTCTTTGCTCCATGATCCGCAGGATGTTCCTATTTGCCATCTGGAGCCATCTGCAAAGTCCAGTGCAAGGCTGGATGGACAGAGGTGTACGTAGCTGGGAAATCGGATAAGGAGCTCGCAGCAGGAAAAACCGAGAGACCCGCCCAACCGTGTGATTCTTCCTTTAATTGCTAGGAGTTTAGTCTCTTCCTGTGTGGTGAAGAAGGTCTTCTGCCAACCCTGGACTTCGGCGCCCTTCACTTTGGGTCCTACAAGCAGAAAGTGCAAAAACCACCCAGCTGCGGATGTGGCCTTGGGACTCCTTCACCAGGCAATTCAGCCTCCAAATTGCTCCTCCCCAACTCGATGACGTCACTCTCCACGAGTCGTGTTACCTGCATCGGAGAAAGACTTCACCTTGCGAAGTTGGCGACGTTGCAGTGGGTTACGCCGTTTTCCCTCCATGAACACCCGACTGTTGTGGGGTGTCTTCTTGCTTTCACCTGCTTCACCACGCTCCCCCCAGGGCCACCGTCTTCTGAGGCACCTTACCAGGGCAATGCGACCATCGCCCGCTGCGCCTCCAACAACACGCTCGAGGGCCTCCCTCTGGACCCGCAAGCGGCCGAGACACGACACACGCGCGTCGAGTAAGCCAGCTTTTGGACGTGGGAGCCAAAGGGGTCAATGAAGAGAAGAAGGAACTGCAGGTTACGTATCCACATGGGGGCTTGGCAGTCGATTTTCTGCAAACCAAGAGGGTTTTGTTCATCATGTTTGGAGAGAGCGACCTTGAAAGTGTTGAAAAATACTCGTATGAGCCATGGGGAACTCCTCTGTGAGCCACCACAATAGCATGGACGTTTGCAGCTGGTACACCAAGCAGAAGGAAGACTAGACAATAGATAATTCTGGGCCCTAAACCTTAAACCATCTCAGTCTCAACACATCTCATTGTGGTCAAGGAACATCAGGACACATCAGGAGATACTCCCCCGCAAACTAACATAGAACCTGAGGAATTGACCTGTGGAAGACCATACCATCCTCTACAACCCGACGTGGTTTTGGGGTTCGTGGTCCTCTCTCTGCAGGGGAGATACCCCAATGGCCACCTCGGGCGTCGTGCCAGGAGTGGACGCCGCCCAACTGCAGCTTTAGCGAGTGCCCCTACCCCACCGTCTTGCCGGAGGGCTACGTACGCGATGCTGCAGGTGCCCGTGATGGACGGGGATGGACCCTGCAGCTAAAGGAATGTTCGCAGTGCTTCAGGTTTCTTCGGACCAGTTTGGACCAGTTTGGACCGTTCTGGCGGCCCAAATGGGAAAGGAACGGCTTTCTTTGGATGGGATGGATGGTTCTAGGTGAAGGTGGAGGGACTGAAGATATGATTGTCGATGTGTCTGGTGAGGCTTTGGGAAACGAACATGGTTGGACAAGGAAGTGGAAACAGAAGGGGTCTTGTACAGGAAAAAGTCATGAGTCATCAGGGAATTCGTTTTAATCCATTGCCAATTCTCCACTTCTATGATTTGTTGGAGGGAGAGAGTATCCAGCATTCGATCGTACTGTATCATTTAGCGCAATACCGCAATGCCTCCATTCTTCTTACATGTCCAACTCTATGTCTGTTGTCAACCTCTCAAATTGAGACGAACCACGCAGGTAGAACCACGGAGGCTGCCCTCAAAGATCCTCAGTTTCTCTTTCAACTTGCAAATTGTGCTTGAATAAAGCAGGGGAGGTTGTTTGAAGGTGGAAATCCACATCCGAGAAAACAGAGGCTTCAAGTAATAGAGCTGCTGATGGTTTGGCGTAACCTGCATCACCAGCACCACGTATATTGATTTTTGTACTCTTCTGTACTTGTACAGGATGGGTTCCCTGCTTCTTTGAAGCTTTGACAATTCTTGGCAAGTTGGAGCAGAGAATCCTTATTCTATTCTGTGATTGTGTTGCTCGTCTCCTGCGGACGCTTCCGCGCACGCAGGCGACGTCTATTGCGAGCGTGGCTACGAAGGCAGGGCACCGACGAGTGATGCTATGACAGTCCAAGCCACAATTCACTTGGAATGGATGCATGCTTGTTACGGAAGGCAGGAAAGCAGGTGATGCGAGTGTTTTGATATCTCCATAATGAATCCCTTCACAACAAGGCACCGCCCTCTGCTTCTAGGGAATTGGCTGAATGCCCAACGCAAACAGCGGGAGGATTTCAATCAGGGCTTTGTACCCATCCTGAGCTGGTGAACCAAAGGAGACACGTAGGGGATGTACCGGAGGGATTCTCCACCCATCCCTTGGGTCTGTCCCACAATTACGAGAAGGCCCTGCAACATCGTCATCATCCACTGGGCCCTGGTCATGGGTTTCTTTGGTGGATTTTCCCAAAGCCATCCCACTTGACCCACCAACATACGTACTCTCCGTACTCTCCTGCTCCAACCTCGCTGGTGCCGGAGGCACCCCGTGGCGGCGCTGCACCCTTGAGGGGCCGCAGTGCACGCTGCAGACCACGATGGAGGGGTGCCTGCCGCGGCAGCCCTGTCGACTGCAAGAGGCCGTGTTTACCAAAGAACAAGTCTGGTATGTTGGTTCCAAGAAGAATCATAGACAGAACGGTATGTCATAGTATGTCATAGTCATAGCTCTTGAATTCTTAAGACTGTCTCCGTGGTCGAAGACGGTGGAACATGGGCTGGGGCGGGAGTCCAAGAACGCTGGGAAAGTGAAGCCACTTCGCTCGCTCGCTTCTGGCGCTAAAGTGGCGCTAAAGTGGCTCTCATCGGACCTCCGGAGTCCTGTCGTGTCGTGCCAGGATCAGGACTGTCCACGCATGGTCTCTTGGCCGGAGACTTGTGGCTTCAGCCCAGACGCTGTTGAGGAGTCCCTCAAAAGCTATGGGTATTGGTTCAAGCCCAGACTCCTCCAGATTCGGAGCCGAACTGGTCTCGTTTGGGAGGTGCTTAAACGGTAACGAAATGGTTCCTTCTTCAGCTCAAGGGGACGTGGGGAGTGAGCTGCCAACTCGGGATGTGTCTCGAAGAACTAGGCCATGGCTGTTGGCTTCTGAGAGTGGGTTCTGATGACAGGAAGCCTTTACCGGTGTTTCTGGGACATCTCACATGGGAGTTGCTACTGAACCCAAAAACCCATCTGTTCAGGAAGCTGCTACTTTGATTCTTGCCTAGATCTGCGCCAATTCCCAACGGCTGATCTGCGCCCCATCACGGATTGGGTGGGGGGCCTCACGTCGAGTGCGCTTTCTGCGCCAATGATCAACCAATGCACTCTTGTCGGATACACTCCTTGAAATCATCATGGAAGTGGAACATGGCCCCCTGACCATGGATCAATACCATTCCATTTGGGTCTGGTTTTGAACAAGGGAGACCTCCCACCGCCGTCCCGACCCCCTGAAAGGTTCGGACCTGAGACACCCAGCCAGAGCCAGGGTGTCTGATGTTTTCACCACACACCCCATGTCCAAAACCCATTGGGTTTTCTCCAGCATGTCCGAGGTCTTCCTGTTTCGACACCGTAACCGAGGTCCGTCGGCACTCTCTGCGTTTCGGTCCATCCGGACCGAAGGCAGCGACGAAGGTCCCATGTGAGATGGGCCCAGAAACACCGGTAAAGGACGCTTCCTGAACAGATGGCGTTTTTGGAGGGAAAATGGGGAAAGTCCATTCAACACGACTTCTCCGGGTAGATTCTCCGACTCTCACCACGCGTTGCGTGGAGGGCGCCACCAAGTCCAGAGTCTTCGGAGGTTTTTGGCCATCCACGGTTCCCATGATTTGGAATCCAGTCGACTCATGACTGAATCGATGACCGTCGGACTGAGGACTACCAGAGCTGTGCCGCCCTTAGGGCATGGGCTTTTTTGGACGGCAGGGCTGAGGGCCAAACGGTCCACGTTCTTGCTCTACGGGCAGTGTTCTTTTTTCTTGAAATGAGGAGTCAAAACCGCTCCAAATGCTGACCTGGCATGAGCTGGCATGACCTGGTCAAGCAAGGTGCTTTTGATCCACAGTCAAATGAGACACCTTAACTAACCGTAACTAACCACTATTCAGCAAAGACGCTGCAGTAAAATGAGGTCTTTGACCTGCCGGGAACCAAAACTATAACTTTCAGCCTGTAGAGCATGTAGAGTAATCATGACCCATTGGCTGAACGATCACAGGCAGCGGAGTGAACCCACTTCGCAGTTCAGCTCAGCGGTTGTGGTCTTCTGGGCTGTTGATGTGTGCACCTGGGCTGTCGGTTTTGGTTCAGCAGGGTGAATCGACAACCAACAAAGTAGCTATGGAGCTTTCTCTCCTTTGGGTTCAGATTTTCTAGGGGGTCTAAGAGAGATTGAGTATGTTGATCATGACCTCCAATGCATTGATTGGAGTTCTCTGTTCTATCTCAAGCTAACATTTGTAGAAATCCCCTTGTAGTGCCCCGCAAGATCCCAACATAGTCTGCAATGTGAAGTGGACCTTCCTCTCCCTCAGCGGTGAACAACATCAGCAACATCATCAGGAGATGCATATATCATATGCCCGGTTTGACGGATGGTGCGGGACGACCCCTTAGCGAAGAAGAGGCACACAGGAAAAATAAGTAATTATATATAGTGATCCAACCAAGTCCTTTACGGAACTGCGGATCCAGGTCTAGTTCGTTCCCAACTCCAACTACAGTAGCTCCCAGTGACTTCCCCTCATTGCGGGTGGGGATGGTACCCCTGTCCTTCTTTCGCTGCTCGATCCAACCACTCCGCCTCGGCTGCCCGGCCGATCCGAGCTGGGACCCAGGTGCCCAGCTGTCGCCTGGGCAGAGCTGCCGCGTGAGGTGCTTGGAGCCCTTCGCGGGCTTCGGCATGGAGGCGCACCGGACGGGCTGGATGCCGTGGAGGACGGAGGAGGGAGCCAAATGGATGGCTTCTCAGGGTGTTTCACTACACAGAAACCTTTGTATACCGGATCATAAGGATATAAATATACATATATATATATATATTACAATAAGTATAATAGTATAATAATTAGGTATAACTACTATAGAATTACAGACCTCAAGAACTCAAAAGTGGCAGGAGTTTGTTGGTCCCCCAAAATGAGCTGGAAGGCATGCAGTGGCTGCAGGAACAACAGGAGCTGTACAAGATTTGGGCGATGAGAGTTTCACTTGTCGCCCTTCTGCTCAGCACAGCCGTTCTCATGAGAAGCCTTTTCTGCAAGCCGCGTTCTGAGAGCTCAGATGGTGGTCTCGTGGATGTGGAGGCAGGCATGCCAATTGATTGTGCAGCGGTTTCCATGATGCGGTCGTGCATTTTCTTTGAGGTGACCCCAGAAGATGGAGGTCGCATGCATGATCCGCAGTACCTGTCACTCCGAATGTGCCGGCGGTTTGCTGAAGCACGCTGAAGGGACAAGCGTGCTGAAGATTTGCAACCCGCCCCGGGAGAGGCTGTACAACGCGGCCCGCATCTCCACGCAGAGTTTTTATGCCGCGCGCTCTTTGCAGACCCCCGCTCTGCGGTCGCCTGTGCCTTGCTTGGGAACTTATGCTCCAGATCTCCCTCAACGAGGCCGTCTTGCTCCACGGCACGCGCCGCAAGGCAGCAGAAACTATTGCGCAGTTTGGTTTCGATGCTCGGATCTGTGATGGTTTTTGCGCCCATGACTATTCTGAAATACATGCTTCCTTGGGAGCACGAACATTGATGGTTTCTCGCATCCTTTTGGGGCGGGTTCAGTATACATGCAGCGGGCGGCTGGACACCAAAAGGCCGATCCAGATACCATAAAGTGCGGAGAGTCTTGTGCATTGCTCATTTGTCTCCAACCAGCGCGGTGCTGGGAGCATGCAGGTCATTACACGTCAGGAGATGATGGTCTATGACAACATGGTGGCCTTGCCCATGTACCTTGTCAGTTACAGGTTGCCAGGTGAGTTTTCAGGTTCAGATTCAGAAGGGGCGGACGGTGGGTCAAGTGATTGAGAGCGCAAAGGTCGAAGTGACCTTTTGATCCAGGCACCAGCTCTAGTGAAAACACGCCCCACGCATGCTCAGTCCATGCAGAGCCTTGCCTTTGTTTGCAACAAGAGCCCGCTGCTTGCCGCCCCAACCAGCCATGCGATAAAGCTCCGACCAGAAGTGCGAAGGGGTGGAATCACACATGCGTGACATTTTCTTCGCATGTTTGCTTTTGCAAAGGCCACCCAGGCATGATTGCTGGGTAAGTGGCTGGAGATCGAACCCCTACACTGGAAGACCAAGTGCGCTCTAATCACAGAGTAATGTGGAACATCTGTGGAGGTATATAAATGCATCTTGGGCAAAGGCTTCCGGTGCCGGCAGTCATTCCAAGCATTGCCAATCCAACCACTATAACTCGTGAATTCTTGGAACATCTTCGTGGACGGAACAGGCTCAAAACAACTGCCCCGGTCTTCGGAAGACATCCCAACAACCAAGGGGCTTGGTCGTGGTCCTTGGTCCTTTGATCAAAGAGGTTTGGCTAGATGATCTTCCTAAACATCCCTAAACTAAAAAGATAGGTCTCCCCATTTTTTTTGCATATATGATATAGCCAGTATCCATCCGTCTGCCACATATGATATCGTCTCAGTTAAATTTATCAACATCAGAGCGGGCCGGAAATGGCCCCCCCGGCACCTGCCACACCTTGCTGAACCGAAAATGCTGGTGGCGGTCGTTTCGGGAGGTGCACTGCCCAGCCGACAACACCGAGCTGGACAGACGCTGGGACGACCATTGGGTCGTTTCGGGATTCGTTGCGGATTCGGTTGAGTGAGGAAGGTGAGCAACCAGTGGGTGATATGTTGAAGATGTTGAAGAGCTGGGAAATCCCCCAAAACTGCCGAACAATTCTCAACTGACCATCTGCCATGAGACGTTCTAGATCATCAAGGATCTGATTTCCTTCTTAATGGCTAAGAGAACCACCCAGAACGATTGAGAAAAGTGGGACACCCCTTCCTGGTTGCGACATGGGAGGAGCTCCTTCACGACATAGCTGCCAAGATCAAGATCAACACCTCAGAAACGAAAAGAATGACTCAACTGTTGCAACAGGGACACGGGCAACATCAAACAACATCAAGCAACCACGGGCAACATCAGCCCATCTGCTCTGAAACCGCCTCCGCCAGCCCTATTTACCCGCACACCAGTCTCTGAGGAAAGCCTTTTTTTGGCAGAAAAGGTGTGTGTGTGTGTGTGTTCCTTTTTTTCCACTAAGCATGGCCCACCCAGGGACCCAATCAGTGGATAAACCATGAAGAAACCTTTCACCATTTTTGGGGGATTGGCTTGAAAAGACCCACTCAAATCCAAGCGGTGGACAGTTGTTCGGTTCACCCACTTGTGTTCTTGGAAACAGCTCGTACGGTCGGACGGTAGCAAGCTCGCTCTTGTGCGGGGGTCAGAGAAAGCCGGCCCCCTTGGGCTCCAAGAGGACCAAAAAGACCCCGCTAGCAGCTGACAGATTTGGACAGAAGATTGGTTTCCGAACCCCCTCCTGCGGCCCCCTCCCTCTTCTTCAAAGGATCGAACTGTTTGCTTTCCTGTCATTCTTCCTGGTCGAACTTTCTGTGAAGGGCTCGCCTTAAACGTCGCCGGATCGAACGGCCAATGCAGCCAGCCACCAGCAGCCAAGCAGGCCAACAGCCAAGCACTGGGCGGTGGGTGTCACGTCTGGAGGTTCTGGAAAAGAACTGCGTTTCGTTGGGAAACAACAAGTATATGCATCGAATCGATGGACATGGGCTGGGAGTGCGATGAACACCTCGCGTAGGGCACATCGGGGGCACATCGGGGGCTAGGCACATCGGTGTAGGATGTATAAAGAAACTGCCCAGAGTCATAATATGGAGTTGGGTGGTTTGGTTCGTCCCTGGGCATCCCGACTTCCTCCAAGTTCGGCACCCCTGACTCCTGGTGGGTTTAACTGACTTTTGATCCATCCATACTAGCACCCCCCCCCGGGGCAGGGTGTCTATTGAAGGCCCTTGGAGGTTGAGGGGTGTCTAGTATCCGCCCCTTGGGGATCCTGTGTACTGTACCATGATTTTACTGACTTTGATCCATCCATCCAAGCACCCTTCCTCTCCACAATCGACCAAACTCGCCGAGGGGAGCCCCTCCGCTGGTCATCACCCGATTGCACTTTGCAGTGTCCCTTGCCCGAGCCACTACCCTACGGCTACACCAATGACTCCAATGGCGAGTGGAGCTGTAGTGAAGGCGTGCTTCTCGGGATAGGCTCAGGATCGGCGGGAGAAATCTTGGAAGTCAATGAAGGATTATTATCGACGGGTTGAAGAGAAAAGCATGCAAGTTTTGGGATCTTTTTTTGCGATTTTGACATTTGGAGATGGGGTTTGACTAAGGCAACTAAGTCTTCAAGGGTTCCCCTTTTACTTTTTCCTTGACGATCGCCATCAGGAGAAGGAGCAGCTTCGGTGAAACAGGCCACCACCTGTGAGTTGCTACCTGCTTGCCCATTTGACCTCCATTTGACAAAGGTCACCCAGCTTGAAAACACGCCTGCTTGGAGGATCCTTAAGCAGAAGGTGGCTTCTATGGGCGTCCGTGAAAGTTTGAGTACTGAAAATACCGAAACTGACCGGCCCACTCATCTGACAATCTCTTTCTACTCGTCTAACCATCTCCCAGCTCACCACCTCCATCCCCCCACCCCATTTCCCACCGTTTTTAGATCGGGAAAAAAGAACAGGTTGGGCGGGCACAGCCGTCCACTTCTGCGAGTACGACGGCGCCCCCTTCTGCCAACGCCGTAGCGAACTTCGGGGGATCCTTGGCCGTGTCGAGCGCCAGCGCCAGCGGTGGGAGGGCCTGGGTCTTGGGGATGCGCCGCTGACGCGTCGCTGCAGTTCGGCCGGGGGTTCTTGTTATTTTCTGGAGTCGCTGCAGAGGGAAAGTGCCAGAACCCCAAAGATTCAACATAAGCATTTGGAAGGGCAGTAGGTTGGAGGCCATCGCTAGTAGGTTGGAGGCCAGGGGGCGGCCCGAAACAGTCCGTTCACATCCCATGGCCCGAAACGGTCCGTTCTTTGAAAGCCCCGTGTTCCATCGGTTTCATGGGAATGTGCAGGGGTTGAAGCTGAAGCCGAGGTGCTATCGCTTAATGCCCTGTGCTGATTTGCAGCTACCACCAGATGTGGATGAATGCCTGTACAACATCACTGAATGCCAAGGAGGCAGTCGGACAAAGCCGTGATGAGTTGATTGACCGTCTTCAGTCTCAATGACTTCAAAGATTCTTGACTACTGTAGGGCAGTACAACAAGAAGCTTCTGACGTTTTGTGGTGGTCAGACCCATTTGGTCCCCCTATCCAACCAGACTTTTTTGATCCATCAAAAGACACTGAACCCGTTTAAGGATCGTTTCTCACCCGACCCACGTTCTCGCTTTCTTTGTTCTCTGATCAAACTCATCATATTGGCTTCTGTGTATATTTTGATAGGGAGACCCTTTTGGGCCCACTGGGTAGACTGGAACCAAGGGTTTTGTCTGGGTCACAAGGGTCCTTTCGTTCAGCCATTGGATCCATGACGACGGAAGGGCGGCCAAAGGCGGCCGAAGGACTCGGAAGGAACTCACTGGAAGTTGGCTGCATCGATATGAGTTGACTGCACCTAAAAAAGGATCCCTGACTGCACCTTCCTCACCTTCCCCACCTTCCTGTCCCCTCAGCTACACTCCTTCCTTTCCCATGGAAACCGTGGATGGCACGAACTCCGAGTCAGTCAGGAGGACGACGTTGTGTTCTTCGAAGACCACTTCCAGCTGGTGGTAGTTTTTCACTTCCACTCCGTGATGATTTCAAGGAGTGTACTCCCTTCTCAGATGCCCAAAAAGATCTACTTAAACGTACACAGTCTTTGCATGTCCCTCCTCCCCCTACTAACTCTTCCTAGTCTTCCTCGGAGTGCACATCTTCAGAGCCTGAGTGACTCCCCGCGACATCACCCCAATGAACTTGAATGTCATCCTTGAACACCTCCGCCTCATCTTTTTGGTGGCGCTGAAACCTCTTGAACAGCTGGATCGCACGATCCGGCTTCCATCCGGGATCCCATCCACTTCGTGGTAGCAACCAGTGGTGTTACTGTTTTCCATGGCCATACAGCATGGACCATTTTGGGCACCCTCCGAAGCCGCGGACGTGTCTCGAGGCCTTCCTCCGGGCGGTGCCTGTCGCCTTGGCTGCTGGCCGCCCTTCGTGGACTTCGGTCTGCCGCGCGTGGCACGTGGCTCGGGCCGAAGAAGAAGAGGGAGGGAGCTCGGAGGGGTTTTGGAGGGGTTTTGGAGGGTTGGATGTTTGGCTTCGGAGGATCTAGTTGCCACTGCTTGCGTCAACTTGGACTTTGAAGCTGCTAGAACAGAGGGGAACTCACTTAATGAGTGACTCGCGGAGCGTTCAGAGAAATTGTGGAAGATCAACTTTGGCCAATGAGGTATGGTCCTTCCCATGAGCGATGAATTCAGATTGACATGGGAGTAGGTGAGTAGGAGCCCCAAAGCTGGCTAAGGAACCACAATGCCGATGTTGATCTTGAGTATAGGTTGGAGGCCATCGCTACTAGGGTGGAGGCCATCGCTATTAGGTTGGAGGCCATGATCTTCAATCTGCGTTTTTCTTGCAGTTTGGATCAACAATTTGGAGCACCACCCCCGCGTCACGATCAACATTTTGTGGGGTTTGCACTGGAATTAACATGTAAACTGTAAACATCAAAGTGACTTGAGGATGTAGGTAGTGTAGGTAGTGGCACAAGCCCAAGCAGCCATGCAAGATAGGGATGAGCAGATACACCACCATCTTCCACGGGTAGATACACCGCGCTGCTCATCCAAAGACTGCCCTCGTCTCCGGCAGTGACACAGCTGGTGAGGAGCGACCCTCGTATTTGGGGTTCCCACGGTTCCCACTTGAAAGAGATGGGCCCCCCAAAGGACCATTCTAGCAACTATAATGTAGACTCTTGAGGATGATTAGCAAGCCCCCGACTCTTGATTAGGATTTTCAATTCAGGCAGTGGTGGGTTTATTAGTCAAGAGTCTACTTTAGATAACTATAGAATATACTAGCCCTACAACTTTTAAACAGAATCACTCCATGTCGGAGGCCTGATCAGGTCCTGGTAGAGGTCAAACATTTGTTAGCTTCCCAGAATTGGTTGATTGATCATGGGAAAATCTACCGGACACCCATAATTATTGGGGTGAAAGCCATGGCTCCCTATAGATTTTTCCATTCTAAACCACTCCAATGATAGCTAGACTCCTTCAAGACTTGCAAGTCCAGGTCCCGTGTCACGGCACAGCTGTGATTACATACGGCACAGCCGTGACTGAGGCTGTCCGGCTGAGAACCTGAATCCCTTCCAGGAGCCCAGTTATTGGCAACTGCCTTGCTGCCAACTCTCCTGCGCCGACCCGGTGCCACTGCCCTTGGGGTATCGAAAGGAGATTTCACGTGCCTCGATCAAAAGCAATACAATTTCAGTCATGGCATTCGTATATCCATTCGTGGTTTTACATGTTTCTTCATGTTTGCCACTGAGCAGAGAGAAATTATCTGGAAAAAAAACAGCTGGAAGAATTAGGCCTATGAAAGCTTTAGACTTGAGTTGCCACGCAATTCGTGAAACGTCCTTGGTTTTTCTCAAACACCATCGCTGGTGGGGTTCCTCGGCTGTGGGGTTCCTCTAAGATAAAAGCGACTCTCAACGCATGGCCCCAGCTGAGCTGAAGAGATCGTCTCACTTAACGTCTTCACTGGTTACAGTGAACCAGGGTGCATCTTGAACCACGGAGACACCAGCGAAAACCCGGTCAAAGGAAGCATCCACTCCCAAAAGTCCTTGGGTTTTCCTTTTCCCAATGAGGATGCCTCCATTGGGAGCATTTTTGCATCCATTGAGTCGATTCCAGGTGGCATTTACAGCTGTGATGAGGGTTACGTGGGCGACGTGAATCGCAGTTGCCTGCGGCTGCCCAACTGCTCCTATGAGGCACCCACCTGGGACTGCAGGGTTGCAGGGTTTGGCAGGGAAGATGGTTGAGTGAGAGAAACATATCGACATTCTTGGACTGCAGGTGCCCTGACTTCCAACACTTGTGGATACAAAAGGTTGGACCAGGCATCGGAACCAAGATGAAACACATGCATCTGTTAGAGAGTTCCTTCATGGTGAAGCTCTTTGTTGTTCTCAATTGCCTGCTCTTCTTTTGTTTTCGGAACACCAACGCCTCAACGTCGTCGACGTCCTCGGGCGATTGGGAGGTGAACCAAGAGCTCGTTCCTTTCCAAACGGTTCCCGTGTGGATCCGGGTCGCCAGAGCTCTGGCGCATCGAACGGGCAAAGCAAAGAGCGGGACCAAGGTCTAGACATAGAGCCCCTCCCCCTTGTGTCGCTCCTTAGAGCTGGCTCGGGGTTTCAACCACGGGGGGGATTCTGGAAGATGAACCACCATTTCAAAAAACTGGAGCCGTTTGAGTCTTGAAATCAAACGAAACAAAAGAGCGAAGAACATTTATACGGTAACCGTTTTCTGTCTTTTTCTCAGTTCAAGTCTCTATCATTTTTGTTTCCTCTTCCTGTTTAGGATTCCATTTGGGGACTTGAGCGAGTCTTGAAAGACTCGGCATTTTTTCAGATCATGGTGACCTCATCGATTTCTCTGGAGGAACGTTCAGCTCAGTCATGTTCAGTCAGCAATTCTTTGGGCGACGCGGCGAACAAAAATACGCCAATCGTTCTACAACCCAACTTCAGGCAGTAATAAAAGTTGATTGAGGCTTGTAGGGAGATGTAAAACCATTCTGTCACGAAGGACGAATTTAAATCATCAGTCTGAGAAAAATCATTATGTAAAGAATTCATAGTGGGTTTCTGGGACCAGCCATGCCTGTCCCTGCCAGGCCTTCGACACAGGAATGCCCTACGCACTCATCCACATGAGTGAAAAACATGTCCAAACCTGACCAAATCAATTCCTGTTCTTGGTCAGCTTGCATGAGTTTGGTCACTTAATACATTCGATGCACCCGAACATCGACGTCTCTTCTTCATTGCATTTCGTCCCCTTGAACATCTGTTTGCCAACCTCGGGTCGACTCAGCTCTCCGCGATGGTGACGTGAGAGGTCCGCTTCGAGGGCTGCCAACGGAAGGTGCCGTGCTTGCCGCCGCTCGGCTGAAGGATGTGACTCACAAGTAGATAGGAACTGTTCTTGCCTTGCCTTGCCATTTCTTTTTTTAAAACTCAGATTTGCTGCGCATTTTTTTTATAATGGTGTTTTCCTGCTTCAGAGAATGTCATGGATGCTTTGGTTTGAATGTATAACACATAATTTAACCCGAGATGCTTTGGTTTGAATTCGCGGTGCGATCTATTTCGAAGCCAACACTTGTGTAGACTACTGTAGGAGCCACATATGCCGACATGCAAGGCCCATCTTCGGCCATTTTTCCAAGGAAGGATCTCCCCTGGTTCACCATATTCCGCGCAGCATCACAAAAGGGTGCGGACGTATTTTCTCCGGATTCCCTTCTGCTCGTGTTCCTTGTGTTCCCCTGTTGCTTCCGTACGAAAACAAACCCGGTTCCTGGACTGACTGGCTTCTTTCAGCCGGTTTTGTCTGAGGCTCGAGGTGGAGGAGGAGAACCGCTGCCGCATGAACATCTCCGGCTGCAGCGCCACTCGCTCGGAATCGGATTGGAGGAGTTGAGGTATGGGGGGGAGGAGGGGAGCAAAGCACAGTGTATACGGTATACGTCCGTATTTAGATCATGTTAGATCACTTTTTGGGCATCTGAGAAGGCTTTTTGTTTTGTTTTTTTACATTCTCGCTATCTGTGACCTAAGCCGCTAGCGTTTGAGAACGCAGTCTTTAGCGAGAAAGGAGATACATCGTGGTGGTCCACCGAGAAGCCTGCATGGCTCCCCAGAGAAACCCCTTTTTACTGAGTAGTATAAGATCGTAGACACAGAACCCCCAAATTAGATAGAAAAGGTAACCTTCTAAGGTATTGGACACCTTGCAACTATATATTTGGGGACCACTATAACTTGGGGAGGATCAGTTTACTGGGGAGATGCTTGTGAGGATGGACACACCTAGAGCGTTGCAACCCACCAAGAGCGAGTCCTTTCATCAAGAGACGTTACCCCAAGAAACATCCTGCAAGCCTCGCAGGCAGAATTCCCCCAAGATCGACCCCCTTGAAAGGGTTTTGCAGTTGCAACCACTTTGATGGTGTGGGGTTAGTAATTTTGCTGTGCTTTTTGTGTTTTTCCGTGACCTGTCTAGGACCCTGGTCTGACCTTGTTGATGAACAGCCCTTGGAATCTAAACATTTTTGCATTGGAAAACAACCACAAACTTCGACAGCCCATGACTGTCCATCACCTCCACCTCCTTTATTCAATACCCAAGATTACCCAAGCTTCTGCCATCTCTGGCCGCCTCGCAGCATCCACTTTCCTTTCTCCCACTCCACTCCACTCCACTCCACTGCAATTGTCTACTCCGCTCTGCTTGTTTTACATATATAAACATGGCTCAGATCCTCTCCGAAGCCCAGGCGGTGGAGCCGGGCGACAGCTGCCAGATCCTGTGCCGGCCGCCCTTCCACGGCGCCGGCGCGGCGCACTGCCCCGAGCACAACGTGGATCCCGCCAGGCCCCGGTCGCCGCCGCGTCGTCGTGTCGGTCGTGGTGATCTGCTTTTTGGGGAGAAGGGGGAGGAGAGGGAGGAGTGCTGGGTCTAGCCATCATGGTGGGAGTTGTGGCTGAGTGGTTGATGGGATTTGTTTCGTTTTGGGAGATGAAAGAAAGAGATTGGACGGCACAATCGGCAATCAAGGGCTTTCACTCTGAAGAAAGCGTGAGCTGGCTTGAAAGCTGGGTTTGTGGGTGTTCGCCCGAAGATTGCAGAACGAAGTCATTGGGGACTCCGCCGCGTTTGGCGTTCGCAGGTGTTGGGATTGGATTGATATGGATGTGTATTTTTGGGAGATACCCAACCAGGGGTCGACTGGTCTATTGCTCCGAACCTTCCAGAGGTTCAAACAGAGAGGTATTAATTAATTTTGTTCACACCCCATTTGGATTGGCTATGAGGTCAGTCGAACTGTGGACATGTTCGAACCAAGGGGAACATCCCACGGTGAACCAAGGGGAATATCCACCAGCGATCCGGGCGAGGAGAGCAAACTTGATTTTTCAAAATTTGGAACCCATTCAAGACTTTTATCAAGGGACCCCATTCACATCAGGATTCCCACCTGTCAAGAGGATGTTCACGTGACGCTGCGCAGTTTCGACAACAGTTTTCACAGCGCAAACACGTCTGGACCGTTCCGGACCGTTCCGGATACAGTTTTCACCTCCTTCCTTCCAAGACCACACAGTCAAACATACGCATAGACGCGATCGGCGGTCAAACATACACCTGGTCCCACCTGGTCTACCACCCGCTCTTCTGCACTCATCTGGTTCCCGATCCCAACACACACGCGCGACGCGTTCCCACGCGTTGCCACTGCCCTCCTCTCCTGGCGATGTGCACCGTTGCGAGGCCCTTGGAGGTAGAGTTGCCCAGTTGCAGTGCCAGCTGTGATGACTTGCCTCCAGGCTACATGCGCACGGCTGAAGGCGTGATCGTCGTGCGCGTGGTGCCGTGGTGGGTGTGGTGGCCTCCTCAAGCGATGCTTTTGGCGGGCGAACTCGAGTATCTTTTGCCAAACAGTGTAGTCACACTAGGGCTCTTTACGGACGAATTGGAACTCCTGTTCCACTTCACACTGCTTGGAGTCTCTTGCCGAGATCATTTGGGGAGGCTGGCGCTGCGCCGATGGCTACGGCGGCGCCGCCGTGGCCGCGCGTGTGGACTGCGGGGCGCCGCTGCTGCTGAGCGGCTGCCGGGAGTTGCAAGCGTGTCGGATCCCGGAGGCCGTTGGGAAGCGGACGGAAGGGGGAGGTGCAGAGGCCTCTCGGCCTGAGCTTGTGGGGGTGGGGGTTGGGCAGATGAAAAGCTGATGAAAAGACGGAGTTCAGCAACTGTCGGTTGGAGTGGTAGTGTAGGTAGGTCATGGGCAGTGATGACATGTGGCAGTTGATGAAGAGGGGGTGGTGGGCATAGTGGGAGTAGGGGTTGGTGAAGGTAGCTGGTAGGGGTAACTCTGGTGAGAGTGGTGAAGCAAGGTCATTCAACTTCAGAAACATCCAGCAGTCACGTTCGACGGGGTGCTATCCATGGAGGTAGTCGGGGTGCCCATAACATCCACCCCTGTCACATCCACAGCCCCTGGCTGGGACGAACAAAAGCCACCCAGTCGAACGTGACTTCTGGATGGTTGATTCTTTGCAGGTGGAGCCTTATGTTTGATGGTCACTCAGTGAGATGTCGGGCTCTGGAAGCACGATCTGGAGCCGGATGGCTCGCGCCATAAGAGGGCTTCCATGCCCCAAAGGAGGCTGTGCAGTGAAAAAGAGCAACCCACCAAGCAAAAAAAAACAGCACTTCAACCACTTGGCTATCACAGAACCACCGCTACAACCTCTACAAGTCACTGTTCACACCAAGAACAGGTCCTCCACCACCCTTGTGGTCTCGAACCCGAGCCACCACGGGCGCACCGGCCGAGTGTTCGAGCACCGGAGGCCGATCCCTGCGTCTGGGACCTCTCCGACTGCGTGGCTCGGCGCGGGAACGGAGGTAGTCGGAACGCCCACGGACCGAACCACGTGAGTCGGAACGCCCACGACGTGTTTGACGTTGGGTGACCAACTCAATGTGGAGTGGTGAAGAAGCGACCGACGTGGGGGGGGGGGGGAAGAACTAAACCGAAGTCTTGGGAAGTCTTGCAAGACCCAGAGACTCCGGACTGGGTTTTCTGAAGCAAAGAGGGGGGTGTCCCAGTAAACCTGTAACAGTGGCTAAATAACTATATTTATCACTGGGCCCAAAGAGTGGAAAGAGATGATTCACTGGGCCCTTGCCTGATGTGTCGTCCATGAAAGTGAAACGGATCCATCCAATTACCTCCTCAATGTCAGATGCTGTCAGATGTGTCTAATGAATAGCAACGTGACGATCCCAAGGTATTGAGAAGACGTGATCTTGCTGACACCTAAGGCAAAGCAGGAACAAGAGGACGCTACTAGGGGCCCTTGGCATCGCTAGCAAAACCTCTTATCCCTACACCTCCTGGCCCATCTCCTCCAGGTGACCGGTGGTCTTCGACCCTCCTGGCATCACCCACCCCTGTCCAATCGAACCAAAACGGAGCATGGACACAGAGGCACTCACACACCACCGATACATATCACATATATCACATATTCTGCACCTACAAATTCACCGATACATGATTTGATATTCAGTCGAATTCGCCAATCCTCGTGGGCATACGGAACACCTCTGCAACTGGACACGATCACGGACTCCGCGCATGTTCTCGAAGAACTTCGCAGAAGCTCTGAACATTCCATCAATCTTCACCCTTCAAACCAATCCAAACATATCCAAACCATTTTTGAACATGTTCACCATTCGTTCAAAGAAATCCAACCCATGAAAAAGGATCCCCTTTGGGCTGGGTCGCCCAACGTGGTCCACGTGCCTCCACGTGCCGCACGCTCAGGTCCACGTGCCTCCGGGTGGCAGCTGCCAAGTGCGCTGCTCCGAAGGATCGACCCTTTTGGGAGCACGTCCGATGTGCGTCGGTCCGGTCGAAGGTGTACACCGCACCTGGACTACAAGGGTCTGTCTCAAATAGATAAACCTGGAGACTCAGCCTGGGACTAAGTAAAACCTGGAGACTTTGACATCTGGGACTGGTACTCAGATGTCATTGGGGTTGGCCATCCGCGGCCCGTGATCATGGAAAAGGTCGTTTTCTTTAGCACAAAAAGCGCCCCCAAATAACGCCATGCTAGTCAAAAGACATAGCACTTGCATGCCAGTTCCTCTTGCCTGCCAATGGGTTTGCTTCCGCTCCGGTGACAAAAACGCTCCGTTCAGGAACGGAAGGACCAGTCCCTCGAAAACCCAGGGGCCCTTAGAGGGGCCCCCAGGTCACAGGTCACAGGTCACCTCCACCGCCTCCCGCCTCCGCTCCTCGCCGTGCTGGACGGAGTCCGTGCTTCCTCGGTGTTTGACTCCGTGCGGGATCGGACCGTCCAGCCGAGTGAACTAAGGCCGTGCCGTGAGGTCCGGGTCTTCCGGTTTAGGGTTAAGGGTTTAGGGCCGTTGAGGGTTTAGGCCATTTAGGGTGACCTCAGCCTCCTCCCCCCTCCCCAAGCGCCTTTGTGCCCTCGGACCCTGGGGGGGGGGGCGCCCTCCTCCGCAGGCGTCTATGAGCCAAAGGTGGTGGACGCCACGTGTCCGGAGGGCAACACCGACCCCGATCAGCCCATCTTGTTCGACGCATGGCAGAGGGCTAGACTGTGGTGGGCTTCCGGTGGATGCTTGAAATGCGAAGAAAAAAGACCTCCTTCGAAGCACTGGACACCAAGTTCAGGGGTTGAACCGCAAACAAGCATCTGCTTTACTACGAATTATATATATATATATAAATATATATGTACCCTAGGGATCCACCCTCCAAACCTACATAACAGTGTCTCCAATCACCGTACCTGAGAAGGTACTTGGATCCCTAGGGATATACAAATGGTCTTTGAAGGCTAGGGAAATAGGGGTGGATCTGGGGCTGGGTGTTGTGCCCTGGGTGGTGCAGGATTTCTTGAAGATCTAAGAGTCTAAGAGAATAGAGTGGGGATGTCTATGGATGTTTCTATTCATGTTTTTTGGATCCACGAGGATTTGCTAACTTGATGCATGAGCAAGCTGCTGGAAATAATCATGGAATGGAGTTCACCACCTGTTTGGTATTCGGTTTTCATGGTCATTTTAATATCGGGTCATGGTAGCCACGTAACCATGATAATTTCAGGGAGTGTACAACTCTTCTAAATCCAAGCTTACGAACTTTGTACAGTCCTGAAAAGCTATTCAAACTATATAGCGCCTTTTTGCACACCTACAACCCAGACATTACCTCTGTTTTGATAGGAAGTTTGACCATATGTTGAATTTTTGGATGGTTGGAGGTCCAAAATAAAGGTCACTCAGCCTCTAGTAGGCAAATCATATTGCCAATGCCATTTCCTCTTGCCTGCCATGCCCCGTTGCCCAACTCGTTTGCTTCCACAAACAACGTAGATGTGAGATACCCAGCAATACCATCAGCGTTTTGTGCATATGCTCACACATGTACATTGTAACAGTCTGACATACTGTACATAGGGTATGCTCCTTTTTTTTGGGTTTCAGCTGGCTTCTCTTTCTGTTGAGAACATGAAGCTGAGCCAACGGGTTGGTAGAAGCTGAGTCAGCCATGAACAGGGGTTGTGCGCAGTGAACACTAGCAGCAGTGAGTGAGGTAGGTCCTCTGATCATTCGGTTGGAGTCTGATGCCGATGAGCTCTTGTACAGTGATTTCAGAGTAGGACTCCCCTGCTGTGTCTCTGACATCTGGCTGTGCCACTGCCACTTGCTGTACCTCTGATACCGTGCTTCAGCGAGTCTGCGAGCAACCGAACCGCCGCAAGAAAGCACGAACGGCCACCACGAAAAAGCACCGAAGCTGGGACGTCCCAAGTACAACGAGGGTTGGTCGGGACTTTGCGGACGTTATACATAGATCAAAACAAAGGTCGTTCTAGGTATATATATATAATACTATATCAAGTTATATATATATATATAGCTAATTTTGGCTCAAGCCATCTAAGCATCAAATCCGGTGCCAGAAATCCGGATAGTGACCCTCCTGGCCAGGCTGTTTGGAGACCCTCACAGGTGGTGGGTTTCTGGGCACCGGACTTGTCAGCAGGAAGCACCTGTTGGAGGGGGCTGGTATATATATATATATAGCTAATTAAAGTTGTTTTTTTTGAACTTAAGCAATGCTTCTTGTGGTCGAAGTTTCTATTCTTGAAGTTGGTCGTGTGTCCTACAATGTCCTATATATACATTGGAGTTATGTCTAAATATTCGCGTACTATTTTGTAAAAATGGGTGTTTGAGTAGTCTATTGGCTTTCTTGTCATTATATAGTCTTATATAAAGTCTAATCTTTCAATAGCATGCAATTTCTATCCTTTTCTGAACTCTTATGTATATACAACATGTGATCATTTCAAACCTTGGCATTCATGTTGACCAACAGTGTTATGAAGAAAAGGAAGGAGAAGGTCAACGGGTCATCAACGGGTCGCCCCTTCCAGGCCGCTGGTGTGTCTCGACTCTTCGAAGCACCGGGGTCGCTCCGGGTCGGTCGAGCGACCTGAAGAGGTGATGAGGGGGGCCATTTTTCTGCGAAAAAAAGCAGTGCTACCTCCCACCCAAAGATCAGGATGCAAATGTGTTTCAAGCAGGACATGTGCAAGTGCATTGGCCGAGACGGATCGTTTTTTCGGAATTGAATGCTTTAGTTGAACTGATGGTAGCTTGAAACATGGTCCACCCGAAAAAAGCAGCGACTGTAAACAGCAACAGCAATATCTGTCATTCACTGGATCCTACTGGGCCGTTGCTGCACTGAGATGCACTGACAAATTGAGAGACATTACATGGCTTCAAGTGTGGCAAGGTGCCCATAGCTCCACACAGCATTCACAAAAGTCGGATGTGACCGCACCAGGGCAATAGGTCGCCGCGGGCCACTGCACAGGCTTGTTGGGAGGTCTCTGTTTGAAGCCTCGCAAAGTTGCGCGCGCCCAGTCACCTCCACTTGGCCTGCGCAGTCTACCATGCTTTAGCTCTCCACACCTCAGCCACTTGCCGTCGCATTCTGCATGTGGCACTGCTCTTTGCCGTGATGTCTATATGCCATCGACGTTTGGATCGAGAGAGTTGCTTCAGGACCTGCTGTGCACCCCCCGCTGTGACGAGCCGGATCCGCTTCCGGACTCCATTGTTAAGGATGAGAAGGGCACTTGGGCAGCTCGGCTGCACTGTGGCGGGCCCGGGCAATGGGTGATGGGTTGGAAGTCTGGTGGGACTTCGATTGTCGGGCTGGGGACACAAAAAAATTAACGACTTGGATTTCAAGCGATATAGGTGTTGCCCTCGCGCAAGAGTCGCTTTGTGGCTCCAAAATTATGAGCAATTCTTCTGTGTGTCTGTGGGGCCCCACTCTAACTCCATGAATTTAGAGGCAAAGGTGATGCCGGTATGCTGCCGGCCTTTGTGATGTAGCTACAAGATTGTGCGTACATTGTTCTTGATTGAAATTGTGCATTTGCTCAAGATTGCCTTTGACTGGGGCGGAAATACCTTCAGCATGCCCCAAGCTTGTGGATCATGAGCCCCCTGTACCTGCAACAACCCACTGAGATCCGTAATGAAAGCGCTCCTTAGTTTCGTCTCGATGGCCGAAACCAAACAGGTCCAGGGACCCCCATTTTCCAAATTTGAAAGTTGCGTATTCAGCGCAACAGAAACGACTCATGGCATTACTCATGGCATCGCGGCATCGCGAAGAACATGCGGTTCCTCCGCGTCCCATCGGTTGAAACACCCGTCTTTTTCCACGGAGGCTTGTGCTGAGGGCTTCGTGGGCAACGCGTCCGAGGACGGGTGGACTTACGACGTCCGACGTGGACGGACGTCACGTGTGGAGAAGTTTTGATCAAGACCTGATGCAAACCACACAACGAAGCCTCAGTTCCCAGACACGACCCATGTCTGTCATATATGCCGATCAGTTGACCCCCCAAACCACCCATTGACACCCCAATGTAGGTGAATATGCCATACTTGGAGCGTCTGGGTTTTTTTTGCAGGTGTAGCATCCCATCGTTCCATCCAAGAAGTATCTCCACCATGGGTCGGCTGGATGGGAGAGAGGGCTGGATGCTGGGGTGGGTCGGATCCTCTGCAGATCTGCCGGTCGGTGTCGCACCCCTGCCCCGCCGGGGTCCTTCAAGCCTGGCCCGACCAAATCCATAGGATAGGGGTTCCCACTATCACTATCCTCTCATTTAGGGACTAAAAACATCTAAAATACTAAAGTCATCTAACATCCATTCTTTTGGAACTGCTGGCAGCTCTTGATTTTGAGGGCAAGGTGCATCATATTTCATGGGAGCTTTCAAGGTCAGTGATGGAACTGTTTGGTTCGAGGTCACCTTCGTCAGCGAATCAAACACACCCATGCAGTTGCCCGAACAACAGCGACCTTCCCACCCAACTTCCCACTAAACTTCACGCTCCAGGAGTGTATCATCAGTGGAGACGCTCAAGGGAACTGTTCAGGCTTTTTGAACCTCACAGGCGTGTACCGCATCGACGTCCGCTTCGTCGCGAAGACGAAGACTTCATCGGGCGTCGAGGTCGAGTCGGAGGGTCTGAGGTCGGAGGACAGGAGTTTCCGTGACTCGCTGCGGAGGTCCTAGGAGCTCCTAGCATCGCTACCTAGGGGCTCCTAGCATCGCTACCTAGGGGCTCCTGGCATCGCTCCTAGGAACAAGAAGCGAGTAGTAGCCTAGCTAGTTTATGCCTCAGGATCTTCAAGGCAGCCCGTTCGGTCTCTTTCATCCACTGGTTCGTTCGTTTGGTTCGCAACTCCTTCGGCCTCTCGGGAGCAAAAAAGCAAAGTCCCAGCCAAACGGTTCAGAGAACACGGAAAGAGAATGGTCAACAGCGGAGCATCCTGAGCATCCTTCATCATCCTGTATCACTTCTGAATAAAGAATTACACTTTTCCTTACACTCTGTGGAACAATCACGGAAGTGGATGGCCAGCTTGAAGACGATGTTGGAATACCAAACAGGTGGCGCCCACTTCCATGTCGTTCGGTGAACCCTGGGAGTGTGGAAGATGTCACCCGTGAAGATCGCCATCAGCTCCAGAGATCTCCAGAGTGTTGACATGTGTCAACGTACTTCGCACCAAAAAGGAACAGCCGAGGTCCGTCAGCAGCTCGGTTTTCCCTATCGAAACTGTGAAGCGCTGCTTATAATAACACGGAACGTGCGCAGGAACGCATCAGCGACTGAATCCCAAAAGTGACAACCTCGTGGCCCTCTCCAAGTCAGATTGGATCCAGGAGAATCCAAGATGGTCCCAGTGCCTTGTGGCCAGATACACCCGGACCCGATGGCGACCGGAAGACGATGTACCCGACGTGGTGTTCAGGTTCTATGCGGGTCTCTTCCAGGGCAGAGTTGTTTTTGTCTCTTTTTTGTCTCTTTCTGGGTGCACAGACAGACTTGTTTCAACTTATACGGGATTATATGGGTGTGTATTAGGGAGACGCCGCAGGTAACCACCCCTTGGAAGCAGGACCAGTCTACCCATTGGGAGGTCCCCCTTTCCCATCATGCAAACCCCAGGACTCTGACAAGATGGGCACATGAGAAGCCTTCCAAAGCTAGACCTGCACTTTTCGTTCGATCATTTCGTTTACACCATACATGCCTCATATTCTTGAATTTTCACACGGGAAACTCTTGGGGACACCCCAAACTATTGCAGAATACAGGGGCCTTGGCAGTTGCTCAAAAGATTTCCACACAATCAGATGGCGAGCCCTTGGTGAATTTCTGTCTTTCAATTCGGCCGAGGATGAATTCGGCTGACAAACCGGTGAACACTTCGATGAAAACAATCGGGGCGTTTCTGCAAACAGCCTTTCATGACAGGCGACTTCGTTTTGGTATCAACATCATTCAATATCAGCCACTCCCAAGTCTGTCGAACAGAGAAGGCCGCGACTTGCGACGGTAGCCAACTGCCTAATATGTTTACTTGTGACCAAGAAGCATCTTTTCTGCTTGTCAGGAGGGGTTTAGAAGACGGTCTGGTTATTTCCACTTCTACCAGATGGGCTCTGTACATCTTCACACGATCGCCATCACGATGCTTTCGCGATCGCCAGGCTGCTTGCCCTTAACGGCTTGCGCGCCATTGGACCTGCAGGACAACAGCTACAACACGCAAGCCTGTGCCAGTGGCCGCTCGATTGGTGGTTTTAGACGCGTGAACGCGAACGAGCGGAATGGGACCTCGACATGAAGCGCCTGCGGACATGAAGCCGCCGTGAATGGAGGAGAAAACACCTCGGAAGAGATCAGGGGGACCTCGGCACGCACCCAGGCTGCTCTCCTGACACCAGTGAACGAAAATCCTTCACCGAAATGAAGACCTGGCAGTGACGGTGCTGGTAGATCTCTCAATAGAGTCGTCGTCATGTCTGCCGGTTGCTATCGTTGAAATCACCGCGTGCGGTGCCCAGCCGAGTGTGACGGGTCAACCGGTCGACTAGCCTCAGCGCAGCCTTGGTGTTGCCAGCCTTCAACACCTCCATCCAAGAATCACATCCACCATCCGAGTCTCAGAGTACCGCGGAACCAATACCTTAGCTAGAACTGCCCAATGTTCTAGCTAGAGAGGGTATTTTGGAGGATCCAGGCAATTCTGTATCTTGCAAACCATCATCTTTCATGAAGACCATGTGATTGGATCCAGGTCCTCTTACCTCGATAGGTAATTCCGACTTCCACCGTCGACCTTCCCATAACCACCGGTTCCACCGGTTCATCATCTTCCTGATCAGTCATCAAGTCATCTACAGCTGCCTGGACCTTGAAAACCTGGGACCTTGAACACCTGGGACGTTCCACTGGGCTCCGCAGCTCCATGCCCCGCGCGCCACGCCACGCCGCGCCACGCCGCGCCGCGGAGCGCCGCGGAGCTCTCTGAGGCACCGAGCCAGGCGACGCGTGCCGCGTGGCCTGCCGCGCGGGGCTGCACGGCGAAGCCACCGAGGCCCAGTGCCCCGAGGAGAACGGGGAGAACGGGGCGCAGCGGGGCATCCGGCGCGGAGGAAAAGACTGGAGAGAGACTCCGCCAAAGGGAGTGGCGATCAGTTAAAGAAGTGTATCAGTTTGCCCCTATAGATCTTAGGAGTCTATGATAGACATTTATAGACAACAAAAGAGGGCTTGGGAGCGGGTCTGGTGTTTTGGTCGGTGTTTGAAATTGGGTTGGAGTCGTGGAGACGACTGATGTCAGTCAAAGAGGCCGTGCCTTTTTGGGGAGGAATGGATTGGATGATCCGTTCTTTTTTTCGGTGATCTGATATGGGTGACTCTTGGTCTCAAGCCATCAAGTGGGACAGGACAGCATGGCTCGGCCCAGCCATCTAAGTCTGTAAACTTGGATGATCAAAGAATCGAAGTGGAAGAGGTATAGGGAATGTCTCAGGGGCCTCAGTGTCTCACTTCCAGAATTTCTTGAGGGGGCCCTCAGAGTTAACCCCACATAGATGAACCCCACATAGACGAACGCGAGGCGAAGGTTAAAGGGTCCAAACATGTTCTAGGGTCGAAACCCTCAAGAGTAGGTTCCAATGATGATAAGGCCTGAATCGTTATGCTGCTTTTTCAGGGTTTCGGCACCCTGTCCCTGGTTGAATAATCAGGGGGCTATTTGCTTTGGGGTGATCGTCTCCCACCGAATACAGGTGACAAAAACGAGACCTTTTTGGTAGTTCGTCAGGTGCTTCCAGCCAAGCCAAGAAGAAAACGGACACGCTAGCCCTCCAAGACAATGAAAAGAGTTCGGTTGACCTGGTACATTGCAGAGTCTAAAAATGTGTAAAACAATGGCTGTTCAGATTTCTATCCATTACCCCACCCCTGCAACAAACATGGAAGTGGATGGCATGGCCTTGGGGAAAAAACACACACAACCATTTCCTACATACAAACAGGGGGGGTTGTCCACTCCACTTCTATGTTTGTTACAGGGAGGGTAGATCGTCGACCTGAGTCCTCACCACCTGACTCAACGAGCTCCTTAGACGCCCACGCCGACGCCGCTGGACACCAGGACAACGTGGATCCTTATGCGCCTCCCAGGCGCGGTGCTCGGACGGGGAAGGGGAGGCGAAGTGGAGCATCTCCCAGCAGCAGAGTGTGACTCCTTTTTGGGCCCGGTTGGCAGATGGAATCCAGTCATGGAGTTTAAAATCGTATAGGTCTCGTGTTTTGGGGACGAGTGTAGTGGATTGTTGATTGGCTGCCATGTTTTCTGCACCCTCTCATCAGTGGTGAAAAACATGTGCCAGCCGCAGACATTTGCCAGTTGATGGCTGTGAGTCAAAACCTCCCCCCCCAGGCCGTGGGAGGACATCCCTTCACCGGGGGATTTGTTCAGCTGGCCGTGGGAGTCGGTGCCGTTGGGTGCCGGTTTTGACTGGTCGTCGTATCCGATGATCTCCGATCATACCAGCCCAGATGCTCCAAACAGCCCGACTGGTCCCTCAAAACCTAGGGATTGGTTCGACCCCAGACCCCTCCAGAGGATTCGGGTTCAGGGTCACGTCTGGGTAATGAGTTTCAGCTGAGTCGATCTCAGAGTCTCAAGATAGTCCAGGATTGATGTGTTCGAAGACTGTTTTTTCTTGCTACGTTTGCGCAAGGTCTCTTTGCAAGGTCGCAGGATTCTGTAGGTCCTTGTGGTGATTTGGCCGAGTGCTAGGGCTCCATATAGGCTACCAAAACGTACAGCTTTGGCACCATGGGCCAAGCTTCCGTTCGGCTTCCGTTCGGTGTTGCAGTTCTCGTTCTCCTTGATGAAAGGTCCGACTCATCTATCTGTTGTTCATTTGGGTCCCCAGTTGTTCCTCAGTTGTGAACCACTTGGGTTCTCAGATCGTCCCTTTCGTCCCCCCAACCCACCTTCGCCACCGCCACTGCAGAAACCGCCACTCGCGCGATCCCCAAAACACCAGGCCCTGAGCTGTCGAACGACCAGCTTTGACCGAGACCACGACCGAGACCGGCTGTGTGTTAGACCAGGGAAGACCTCCCAGTTGGACCGGAAGAAGGACAACAGACTAAAACCATCTAAAACCCCCATTGGCTTGCACTGCGCATCGTCCAAGACACCGAAGAACGCACCCGAACCGCACCCGCCGCCGTTCCCCGTTTGGCGCGGCGAGCGGTGTGAACCGCCGCCGCCGCTCCGCCGCTCCGACCTCGATCTCGGTTCGACGTCGGAGCGGAAGTGTCGCCAGGGTGCGTGTCCTGCCAGACTGCCGTCTCGAGTGCGATTCCGCTCCCATGGGCTATGCAGCTTGGACCCGAGTCCTCCTGAGCGGACCAGTCAGGGGGAGGATGGGTTTCGGGGTATTGGGCGGTCTGGACAGCGGTGGGGGAGCCAGATCTGAAGGCCACGTGCGGCAGAATCGAAGAATCGGGCCAAGAGAGTCCGATCTTGTCCCCAGAAGATCTGATGTCTAAACAATTATTATACCCCAGGAGTCACAAGACGGGGTGCCGAACTTGGAGGATAGGGGTGCCCCTGTCACATCCACTCACTGGCTGGGACGAACAAAACCACCCCGTCTTGTGACCCCTGGCCCTAACATTTTCCTCAAGGGAGTCTTCGTGTGGGGACACGACACGAGTCGGTCGCCCAGAGAAAACTCACACAGAAAAGAATCCAGAAGTTCAGTGATTCACTGAAGATGCACCCTACACCCTGAAAATCCCTGACATAAACCATATAAAAAAAGGACAATGGACCATGGAACAAAGATTGCATGAACATGAACATGGAACGGAAAAAGGTGAACATCAATTGAACTTTCAACTCGCATGTTTCGCTGACAACCCGAGACACCAATCCACCGGTTCGTTGAGGCTTGGGCTGGCCTCGCGGTGTTCGATTCGGGTCGAATTGGTTTGGGGTTCCCATCCACCATCCCCACTGACTGAGACGCAAGTCGACTCTGGACTAACCTCTACCAGGAAGCTACTGGGGTCTACCAGGTCGGTTTTCCCCAAACGAAGAGGTGACTGCGCCACTGACCGTTTGCTGCGGACCTGACAGTATACCAAGGAGAAGACCCAGCAGGGCTGGCGCTGCTCGCCGGGCTATGCCGGGAATGCTGTGGCCAGTTGTAAGGCAAGTACCAGGTGCCGGGAGAGATGGGGCGCGGTGAACAGGAGAAAGGACACAAGGAAACGAATGCCCTTCCGACGGACCTGGTTGGGGAGTTGGGGGGGCAAGTCTTCCAGAGATCCACCGACCGAGGCGCGGCGTGGATGGAGATAAAAACTGGAGGCCGACCCCCTGCTCGACCCCCTGGAAGAGGGAAACGAACGACCAGTCTACCCATGGAGTGGTTGATCAAGGTCTGAAGATCACTCGGAGAACCCACATGGGAGTGGCACACCCGTCGGGTCTTAGGCTTCGGGTCATAGGGTCATCCTGTCGCAAAACATGCCATTCACGTCGTTCAAGCCATGTTAGTTAGTGCATGTCCTTAGTCAATCGCAACATGGGCAGGGTAAATCTGACTCACGTCTCACGTAGACATTTCACTGGAGTCTCCAGTCCAGGATGAACAGGGATGAGAGGAGATTGATGAAGCCAAATTTCAATGGACAAAGACACTGTTCTTGTGTGCATGTCTCGGTTAGTCGTCAATAGATAGCCTGTATACATATATATGGACTTTTGGTACATTTTCAAGGCTGTTGAGAATGCTGTCCACATCTTCGTTTATTATCAACCAAACCTTTTTCTAACGTATACGTATAACGCAGGAATGTCGGTCTTTTTAATTCGCCTTGATGTAGCTGCCCTATGACGCACACCCTGAAGGGTCCACTGTTTGTTCCTTTTTTGTTCCACTATCATCTTCACCACACCAAGGGGCCATCTCCAACTTTTTCGGAGGAGGGGAACAAGTGGATCCATAGGGCATGACCCACAATCAATCAAGACCCATGTAGAGCTATGAGACCCTAGGCATTGCCCAAGTCTTGATCATTTCACTCAAGACCCATGGCGGTAGAGCTAGCTGTGAGGGACTTCCCGTCGCGACTTCCCCTTCGCGAGCCGGGAGGGAGCGCACTGAAGGTGGGATTTCCGAGCGAAGTGAGGAGAATCGATGGCAACAGGCTTTGACCATTGGATTGTGATGGATACACCCTGGAAGACGATCCTAGGGCCTTGAAAACCACTGGGCTGGTAGCGGATTCAATCTTCCAGGTTGGACCCGGGTCTATGTTGGTTTTCGGGAGTGTAGACATTTTGGCCGAGCTCATGGCAGATCCACCCTGTGAGATCTCACTCGTGGTTCAGTACCAGGTCGAAAAAGCAATCGATTGGCTTGCCCAATACTCCCTAGGGCTCCTGGCCCACATCCTCATGGAGACTATTCATTCAAAGAACATAGCGCCTTCATTTCAGCTGTCTCCCTATCTCAGGTGCGGTGCGGAGCTCCACTTGGAGGGCTGTTGGCCCATCGTGCCCTGCTTGAGGTGCGTCATGCGGGCGGGGGCTGAACGAGTCTGAGGGCGCTGGGGAGCACCCTGAGTCCGACTGTTTTCCTCGACAAAACCAGTGGTTTTTCAGGGTCCATGTGAGTTCTTAGCAGGGTAATTCATGAACGAGGTGGTTATTCTGAAGGTGGTCAGAATACTGAATATACTATCCCAGTGGGGGCTGGCCCCAGTCCCTCTCCTCATTTTTCTCCTTCCCCACTTTCAATGGAGGACTGTGGAATGGAGAAGTCACCGAGAATCCCGGGCCACTGACGTTGAGTCTACCAACAACCCTAACTTGGAAGAAGTTGCTTTCCAAAAACTGCCTGTGTGGTGCTTTTTTTGGGATCTGTCTCTGAGAATGAGAGAGAAGAAACAGCGGTCTTCAGTAGTCTTGGCAAGATATTTTTGTGTGCAACTGTGTCATTGCGCTTTTGTGCTCTAGTTTTTCCATGTTTAAACGATGAACCGGGCATTCTTGTATGGCATGCATTTTGATTCATCTATATATATATATATCATGTATCCAGTTCTTACAGTGGATTCTGGCACACGGCCATTGGTTTCGGACACCGTCGCGAACACACCATGGGCGCGGGTGAGCTCCGGCCCGATGTCGTCCAGCCGGACTGATCTCCAGCGGCGAGAAGTTCAGATCTCCAAGGTCCAACCAGCAGTCACGTTCGACCGGGGTGCTATCCATGGAGCTAGTCGGGGTGCCTGAACATCCAAGTCACTGGATGGGACGAAACACCACCCCGTCTTGTCACTTCTTCTTCCAGAGTTTTTAAGGAGGACCCACATCTAGGTGGACCATCCTCGCAGCAGCGAAACAGTTGCTGACACAGGTGATACACACACACACACTGTATGTGCGAGTCTAGAATGCCGATCAAATCCTTCCTGGGGACCTGATCATTTCGGACCTCTTCAGAGCGGTTGGGTACCATCGGCTTCGGACCTGACACTGAAGATCAGACACTTCGTCGAAGCGAAGCTTCGTCAGCTTGGGCCACCAGTTGGTGGCGAAAACGCGGTGCAGACACGAAACGGCCCTCCAGAGCCGTCACCCCATCACTCCTTTTCTTTGACCAGTCACACCCACTGACCTATCACTTCCACCCCCCCAGCAGGTTTCACCCCAATGCAGGGAAACAGGTGTCCGGTCACCGGGTGTCACCGTATTTTGCGGATTGGTGACCTCGCGAGGTCCACAGGTTCTTCAGTCCTCTTTCTCATCTCTAGACCATACCTCTTTCTGTTTGGTGTGGCCATCCCTTTCTCCCTCTTTCTCATCTTCATCTTAGATCAGTCGGAGCCCTGCCCCATCCATCCCAAGTCATCCAGGCCCACCTTTGGCGAAGACCTGTGCCGCTTCGTGGCGGTGTGCCCTGAGCAGCTGCCGCCGGGCGGCAGCTGCGAGATCCACTGCCGCGCGCCCTACGAGGGGGTGCCCACGGTGGCCCAGTGCTCGCCGGAAAACACGTTGCCCAGAGGCTTGGGAGTGTGTGGGGAGGTCGTGGGGGTGGGATAAATGGGGTTTGGGGTTCCAACAGGACCGAGAAGAGTCAGGTGTTCTCCAAGTTCTTGGGCTATTGAATCATGTTGAAACTCAGTTCTATGATGAAGCGACTTGCATGGGCGATCCCAACCTTCACGAAGTGGCTCAGTAGTTGCTCTCCTCTCTCTCTCTCTCTTTCCCTCCAACCGCTTCTCCAGCCGCTGGTTTCACGGCAGGAGAAGCCAGTTGGGAGCGGCCGATGTGCAGCTTTCACGTGTGTCCTGATCCAGATGTCTACAGCAGCAACTACACCAAGGAGCGCTGCAAGCAACGACGCGCGTCGCGTCGCGTCGCGCGTCTTGAGACGCTGAAGAGACAGTGCGAGGAATCCATCCAGACGAAGTATCAGGATCCCCAGCAAGCACTTAGGGGTTGAACCCCCCAAAAAACATCAAAACACTCAGTTCGTTTTAAACATCAGAGCAAAACAAGGCAAAGGTCCATAAGCAAACTTCCGCACTCGAATGAGCACATACATGAGATCATGTATGTGAGCAAGCACATGAGAGCACACAAGTGAGAGTGCACAATACATGATACATCGATACATATATGATATGATATGATATGCTATGATATACGTATATATCATGTACATGAAAGCACATATGAGAGCACATACTTAGGCCGACTTGACCACCAAGTGCTGCATCTGCCACAAAATCTGCACATGCTTCGATTCACATTGCGCAGCCCTGTTTGTTCGTGCGCTTCGCAAGCAGCAAGCATGTCCAAAGACAACATTAAGACAGACATCGTCCAAGTCTTCCGAAAACGAGCCACATGTCCAAAGCTCCATGAAATCCATTGCAACTGCCATGAGATTTCAGATCGTGCCATCAGAGCCTGCACATCGAAGTCGTCCAGGGCTCTGATCTCCTGCACCTGCCACGATTTTTGTTGACTTCCGACCGCCCAACACACGAGGCTTTCCTTGTGCCTGCCAAGAAAAAGACCACCACGTCTGAACATGTGCATGTGCACATCACGGCACGATCGCATTCCTCGAGGAAGGAATGGCGAGACCTCAGATGAGGTGGTAGGTGGACCATGCGAGCCTGCGCAGTCGAAATGCACTTCAAGGATTTAAGTGGCAGCAAATTTTACCCGCCAACAGGTGTGAGCACCCTAAATCTAAACTCTGCCTCAACCAGCACCCTAAGTGTGACCGCAGTTCTCTTTAGGCACCACTTGACTTGCTGGAACTTTGACCGTAACGCTTTGACCGTAACGACCTACGTCGTAGGATCCTGGCAGCCCAGTGGGCTGGCGCTGCTCCGACTCCATGACGGGCATCGCACAGAAGTGCCACACCCAGTTGCTGAGTGGCTAGAGGAGGTGGTCAGGTTCCTGAGTTTTAGCATGTTTCATCCGCGTTTAGATCGGCTGGAGCGAAGTAACACTTGTTAAACTTGGTCGGAAGGACCTCATTGATCTACTCTACTCCTTTTAATTGTTTTGTATGTACGACCCGACCCGGGGAAAGGTCCTTGACCTGTAGGGTAGCGATCAAGCAGGTTTTTGATGAATGTTTGGATGAATCGGAGGCGCAGGTGGTGGTTGGTTCTGGAGGAGTCCGGGAATTGGTTTGAACAAGGAAGGGCACTCAACCGGACATAGTCCGCTTCTTTGGTTGCATCATGAATGCACCATTAGGGATCCATCTATGATCTTTTCAGAGAAGGTGCTTTAAAGATGCAACATGATGCAACTAGGGGGTGGCCACTGGCTGCTTGATGGCCGCTTGATGCTGTGTGGCCCATAGGATTTCTTGGTCTTTACAAAAGAGGATGGGTGACCGGAAACAATCCGTCTTGACCCGTAAGAAATGGGTTCTTGGAGAGGTCAACCGGTCGGTGTCCTGGATTTGACCCAACCCCAGTTCTGAACATGTCCGTGGTCTGCGAATTGGGGCGACCAGTGAGTTCGGGTCGAACCATGGGAACGCATGGATGGGAACGCAGGGTGCTCTTTCAAGACTCCAGCTGTGCAGGGTGCCTTTTTTTGTTTCCCGCGCGTTCGCCGATGTTGTTTTGGAGTGAATCATTCATGACTTTTGGCAGGCTTTTAGAGTTCAGATGTTACAACAGAGAGGGCGATTGCAGGTGCCAAAAGGGCCTCAAGGCCTTGGTCTTTGCGGTCGAAATCCACGTCCATCTCTTGGATGTTCAGGAAAACACGTCCAACTCCAGAAGATTCACTAAGACTGTTGGGTTTCGACGTGGCAGTTGTGTGCTCCAAATGGGGGGTCAATTCCAATTCCGACCAAGAGGTGGTTCTTTTTTTCAGTGAAAGACCCTCCGAGCCTCCAATCCTCCGAAGCTCCGAGCCTCTGTCGGCTGAGGGAACGCTCCGGTCGCCGGTCGCACGTCGTCGCCCAGCCGTGGGCGTATAGGACCTTACAGGAGGTGAAGTGACCTGAACTAGGACCCATCACCAGGGGTACCCAACTAGGATAGTCTAGTTCGGGTTCTTCAACCTCTGCTGGTTGGGATACCCATAGACTGTGAGCTAGGAGCCTTTCAGATTTTCTGAGGTTTCCGGGAACGGGCGCTCCGACCCAGCGTGGCTCAAGCACTCCTGGGGTGGCCAGGAGAATCGATAGGAGCATCGCTGCAGAAAGGGCGGCATAGCTGGGGGCATCATCAGAAAAGACAAGAAGGCTTCCAACCTATTAGCGATGGCCTCCAACCTAATAGCAATGGCCTCCAACCTAATAGCAATGGCCTCCAACCTAATAGCAATGGCCTCCAACCTAATAGCAATGGCCTCCAACCTAATAGCGATGGCCTTGAACCTAATAGCAAAAGACAAGAATCCAAGAATCCAAGATATATCGCCAGAGTTGGATGCCCATAATTCACTCGTGGGCACATTGCAGGCCCAGCTTGGTATAGTAATCACTCCCAAACTCCAGCACATTAGCACATTGGACACACTCCCAAAAAGAACACCGCGCCACATACGCCTCGGACTCCCTTTGCGAGTGAGTGTGGTCCCAAGCAGCCTGTGGCTTCGACCTCTTTTCGACCTCGTACGGGTTCCCCGCACCGCAGCGAGTTCGACACGAAGCGTGTCTCGGACGAGGACGGTTTGGGGCGTCCGTCGGCGTGCCCATGGCGTCGCTGACGGATGGAGAGTTGCACCCGGAGTTGCTTCGAGGAGTCACCATGGATGCTGTGAGATGAATGGGAGCCAGCGTTTCGTGGGTCACGTGGTCGGTCTAGAGATCCAGTTTGCTGGATCTGTTGTTAAGTTCCAAGATGGTCCAAGAAATGGATGGAACTCGCCAGCTTGAGGTACTTCCTTGCTAAAGGATCTCATGCCTTGCCATCTTCGAAGAATATTCGAACTGTTTCTGCTTGTTTCCAGGCTCTGAGGCGGCTTAAGACTACTGGATGGGTGAAAATCCATTCAATCCCAGAATTGGTTTCTAGCTGAAGCAACATGAGTTAGGACTTGTTGGTGGGCGCTGCCCATCTCACTTGTGCCACAACTCCTATGTCTTTTGCGGGTAGTATACAGGAATATCTAGGTCGTTTTTGGACGATGAAAGCAAGGCTGTCTCCCATCAGGCCACCCTTTCGGAAAGGCTTTCTAGTCAGGAACATGTGGAACCCTAAAACCATCTAAAACCTTAACATGTTCTAGTTCAACATGTTCTAGTCAACCGTAGATTCTTCCGAACAAGCCATGCATCATTGATTCAGATCGGTCACATCCGGTCCCACGGACCGTCCACGGGTCACGGGTCACGGGTGAGAAGACAGAGCGAGTGCCGATTCCGCGGATTCCGCGACCAGAAGACTTAAGACTTGATTCCCATTCCCGCACCAAGTCAAAGACCTCATTGTACTGGGAATTGTCATACAAAACCAATACTTAAGGAGGTAAAAGACCAGGTTTTACTGGGTCTTTGGACTTGTATAGTATAGGGATTGTGCTGGTACTTGGTAGAACTGTTTGGTTGGGTCCTAGCATGTCCAACCCAATTTACCCACTTGGCAAGTTTGGACATACCCTTCGCATTGGCCCATTTCACTCGAACTCGCGGATGCTTCCAGCTCAGGATATTTGCCTCAGCGGCTGGGCGCGGCATTTTACCAAACCAGACTCAGGGATCCTGCAGAACAGTCAGGAGTCGCGGGTTTCCGCGAAAAGACCGGTGTCCGAAGAGAGTGGTTTTCCAGTCACATGGAGGGCCCTGCAGTGGTTTGCTTCGTCCCAAGCCGTTCGGGGCCGTGGGCCTGTGACCATCGGGGCATCCCGACGTCCGTTCGGAGCCGGCCACCCCGAGCGACCTGTGACGTCTGCCTGGACCAAGCTGTCGGGGGTGTCCTGGAACTGGAGATCCCAGAGAAGAGGGGAGGATGGATGGTTAGGATTGACTTGGAGGTCTCTGAAAAGGAGGAGATGCACTTCAAAGTTTTCCATTTGGAACTGGAGGCTTCAGACTCAGACCATGATGACCATGTCTTCGACAACGCAGACATGTTTCCCGCTTCAGGGGTAAAGGAGAGGATTTGGAGTGCCATGGTTTTTCCATGTTTTTCCATGGTTCCACCATGGTTCCATCCGTTTGTTCGCCTCCCAGATAGGACCCGTCCTATCCCAAGAAGTGCCAAGCGAGATGCTGAACCGGGCGACCAATGATCCGCTGTACCAGCGATCACTCGTACTGTATACTGTACGTACGTCGAGTGGTGGAAAAAAACACACGGGGAAGGTTTGGGGGCAAATGGTTCGGGGCATCAGAGAGAATGGTTCGGGGCATCAGAGGCCGTTCTTTTTCTATCTTTTTCTCGGTTTTTCTGCATGCGTCTCGGAGATGTAGGACCCCGTCTCCAGTGGGTGCGACAACAAGGTCCACCATGCGCGATCTGATCCAAGGGGGTGCTTGACCGACTGTACCAATAGAGACCCTTCCTGGAATCGGAAGTGGATGGCACCACCACCGACCTATTAGTATAGAGGAAAAAGGTAATCCCGTGGGGCCATGCCATCCACTTCGATGAGTCCCAGTCTACATGCCTTCAAGGATCCCTCTGAAGCCCATTTCATCGACCGTCAGAAGTGGAGTGGTCTACCCCACAGGCTCTCAGTCTCGCCAGGAAAGCTACAACCTGAGCCGGCAAACGGATGCTTGGATGAATCTCTCGCACCGAACTCAATGGGAACGTCTCTTTCATCGTTTTCCTTCGCTGGTGATTTTTGGAAGGCGGGGACCGTTCTCCTCTGGCTGCTTACCTCGGCTCTGAACGAGAGGTCCTTGAAAGGCCAGGAGGAACTCCCTACGCTCAACTCCACTAAAACATCATCACTTGCGTGGGGGCCTCAACAGAAAACAAAAAAACCTTAAGAAACTTTCATCAACCGGCTGCAGGGAAGGATTTTTGGGACTCTTGACCAACGCCACAAAGTCTGGATCTCAGCTGAGAACTTCCTCTTGCTGCTAGCCACTTTGACTGATCATGCACGAGCAGAAGGGAATGGTAGCACCAACACCTGGAGTTCTCTTTTGATGCATTTGACAGAAGCCCCATCCTGTCTCACTCCCACCCATTCATACCTGTTCAGGTTTACAGCCACCCCAGCTTACCCACCTGGTCCTCGCTTTCGATGGGCTTACATCCGTTTACCACACTTCTTTCAAACCAACCACTTCCCTTTTTCCCAAGAAAGAAGACAAGAACTAACACAGTTTATCGAATGTTTTTGTAACATCACCGCTTCTGGCAGCATGAGCATATGCCAAGATATCTCCTTCCCAGGACAGCTTCGACGAGTTTTTGAGCCATGATTGGGACACACCGCGCATGCACAAGCTGCTTTCCATGCATCTTGGATCCCACTTTGGCGACCGTCTCTTTCTTTGTTTCGCGTCGGATTCCGGGGGGGCGCACCGTTGAGCGTGGCCTGGAGCAGGCGGTTTAAACGGCTTCAAGAACGCTCATTCTTCGCTCTCTGGAGCTCTACCGTTGACCTGGATTCGGACGGACCAGGGCCCTTTGGGCCCCGGTCGCCTCGTTCGGACCCATCGGTTTGTGCAGGGTGTGAAAGTCTCATTTCGTCTGTGAGTTCCAGGGAGAAAACACCCCAAGAACAGAAGACCCGAGAACACCCGCTGAACTTCGCCTCTTCTTCATGTGACTCACCGGTACATCCTGCACCTTGAAGAAGGAACCCCAGGTAGACTGGCAAGAAAGCTACATGTTCGTCAAGACAGCCATTGCTCAGTCTTCCCAAGTGGTAGATGTAGGGATTGCACCGCTTGTTGCACAGCCTGTTCCACAGCTTGTTCAACCATTTCTTCATGGCCGATCTGATCAGGTCCGTTTGGCGGCTGTAAACAGTTGACTGGGTGGCCGCAGATCATGAGTCATGACGTTTCATTTTAAGATATATTGAGAATCATTGAGATACATAAAGATACTCGGAGAGTAATGTGACATGGAGATACATTTCATTAATTATACAATAATTGCTACCATTTTTTAAATTATCAATTTTTACTAACAAATCCTATAATATATATATATATATAATATACACATTATAGGATACCAAACCTTATTCTTCACCAAAAGGCCAAAAGGACATCGCTGCTTTTGAGGCTCATGATTTACAATTCGAGGGCGGCCTTTTTCTGCTCGCTGATCTTTAGCCTCTCTGTGGGAATCTTACGATCACTGCAGGTGGAAGCAGGGCGGGGAGCGAAACGATCCGATCGCGCCCTCCGAGTCTCTTCACCGGATCAGACGAAGACCGGTGGATGTACCGATGTGGAGAAGATCCAACGGACGTGCAAGATGGATGTCAAGACTTTGGTCCGCCCAGTTCGGTAGATTGGAAGATCCAGGTTTTTCAGGCTGGATCACTGGATGAGCGTTCAGTGGTTGGATCATCCGAACGATGAAGCCGTGCAATGCCGCCACCCGAACGATTCTCGCCGGATTCTCCCGCCAAGGCATCTGGGCAACGAGAATGAACTCCCCCAGATGGGCAAACCACACATTAGACACTTCAGCCGGGCATCAGTGGATTGCTCTCTCCAAGCAATGGGGGGGGGTTCATGGTCTTGAATCATCCAGGGGTCGAAGATAGTTGAAATCTTGTTGTGACCAAGCTGGATGTCCTGGACCTAGACACAGGTCCTCAAGACCACCTCGTCAAAAGGGAAGGGGACGAGGTCTGTGCCCTGGGAACTGGTATGAATGGACACCCAGGGCAGGCCCGAAATCATCCAGCCGATCTCAGAACTGGTTGATCCTGATTCTAAGGAGGTTTCCTCTTAGGCAAAGAAGATCACGTGAATTTAGAGAGGTAAACCGGTCGAAGTCTCATCAAGGAACATCATATATGTATATATATATATATATATCTGAGTGTTTTTTTACTTCATCATGGTCTTAAAATCCGTTTCTTGAGCAGGATCGAGTTTAAGGTTGATTGCTGATCTGTGATGTAGGGGAGCTAGCCCTACAGTGTACTTACAGAATGTCCATATTTGTTTGAGATGCAACCTGTTGTCCAATGCATTGAAAGAACACCAAGTCTTCAAACAAAACATGCCATGCCTTCTTTTCCAGGCATGAGACCAATTCAACATCTTTCACATCCCGTCGTTCTGTGTGTGCAGGTCTTGCCCAATGAGCTTTGGTCTGAGCTGGTGTCTTATGCCATTTTCCCTTTGGTGCTTTGCTTTTGGCAGAGGACCGTCACGCCGGGACCGCCGGAAAGGATCCTGGTAATGGATCCGGACATGACAGAAGCGCAGGACAGATGGCAGGTGACCTCATCCGCGAAAAGACACGCGCTTCGTGCGTGTGCGTGTGCGTGTGCGTGTGGGTGTGCGTGTGTTCTTTTCCCAGAGGTATTTTTGCCACTTCTGTTCCAGAATCAAAGTCATCCACCATGTTGCTTAATGTTCTTGAAGGATGGAGTCCTTTTCCCCAGAGTCCGGCCTTCTGATTGCAACTTTCGCAGGAACCGTTCACACCCTCTTTTGGAACCGCTTCGCAAACGAACACGCAGCACCTGCCTTTGCTCGCATGCACGCATCATGATGCGCAGGATTCGGAGGCTTTTTCAAAGACCACTTATGGTCTTCTTTGATATGCACCCAAGCAGCACCAATCCGCCTGCGTTTTTGCGTCGCCGAGGGGCTGTCCGGCTGTCCGTGCGGGCATGGTGGAGTCCAAAAACCCGTGTTCCTGAAGGACAGAATCCTTTCATGAGAACAGGGAGTCTCATCAGAGGTGGGTTCATCAAGGTTCATCAGAACTGTCAACAAATTAAGACAACTTAAACTTTCGATCGTTTGGCTACCCAATAGTTTTTGTACGGAGAGGAGGAGGGCATTCCTCCATCTGAGCAGGACTCCTTCCATGAAAGATGGAAAGGGGATCGGACTCCCCGTTGGGGCTTCGGAGGTGAAAGACCGGACGTCAGAGGACTTCCGTGCACCTCGTCGTTGGATCCCGTTCGGTCAGGAGGGGTTGGCTCGACTGCATCGGACTGCATCGTTGCAGGGTTCAGTTCGGTTCGGACTAAGCAGACTCGAAGAACATCTCTCACACACGACCTCATACACACAAGGCCCTGAGGGGAAAACATGTGAACGAATGTGAAGACCCATGTTTTTTGAAGGTTTCAGGGATGCAAAACACTATCCCTAGGGCTCTAACCACCTTCTGAGAAGATGGTTGGGGTGGGATCTAACCACCTTCTGAGTATAGTCATTCATCCCACAGCCTTGCCATCTTGCCGAAATAGCTTCTATCTTCCACCAGTCGTTGGAGCTGTTCGACCAGTCGTGGTGGAGCTGTTCGACGGTAGATCCAAATGATTCTGTGCCGAGTGCCGACCTCACGTGGCATACGGTAACCGTTACCCATTTCTATATACTTATTTCTACTCTCAGAGCCGCTCGGCGGCATCTGGGTTCCGAAAACGAACAACTGGTCAAATCTCCACCGAGAGACCCTGATGGACCCTGGTGGATGCTATGTAGGCTGAATCAGTACCCCTACGGAAATGGAACTCCCACGGAACCCGAAGCTGAAGCTGATCTGGCGTTTCCTTTGGATCAGGCGTTTCTGAAACGGGTTCCTTTTTCATACCCTTGGTTTGAGTCCAGGCTTTGCATAGCTCAGCATGATGAAGAGCTGAAGAAGAAAGCCATCTCCGGCATAGCCGCTGGGCGACACTTTTCTTTAGAACGGCTCTTGCAGGCCATCTCCATATGCTCCAGTGTGACCAGAAGTTGCCATCTTTATTCAACGCAGCAAAACCTTCATCAACAGCAGCACTTGGCCTTTTTCTGGAGGAACTTCTGCACCACCTGAGGGTATCGATGGGAAGGGTCCACATGCAGAGCGGGCTTGCCGCGATTCCCTCTGGTCTTTCATCCAATCACTTCTCCCCAACGGTGGTGGAGCCAGAATCCCAGGGACATGAAGCTCTCATCTTTTCCCCAAACGACGTGACGTGTCCACCTGAGCCGGGCTTCTTGCGGTAGTGGGGTGGCCGGGTGTCTGATCTGTGATGAGACGCCCACTCGGCAGATCCCGTGCACCCGCATTGAACCGAAGCATGTTGGAGCGCGCCTTCGCAGCTCGTCTCTCTCAGATGGCTCGTTGAGCTCTGGACTCATTATCAAACAGCAAAATCTCGTTGATCTCGTGTCCCAGTGGCCGTGGATCCTCTTTTTCAGGTCAACTTTTTGGATGCCTCTCGGCAGCTCACCATCTTCTGGTCGCATCGCTACTTCCGCCGCCTGTGGCGCCTTGGCCCGGGTGTTTGGACCAGATCGAGGTTCGATTTTGGGTAATTCGGCACGAAAACGGTGGTGACGTAGGAGGTCCTGGTTCCGTAAGGAAGAGCAGTTTTTCCACTTAGAAACAGGTGAACTCCGCTTCCATGACTTCCATGTGAGTTTTCGGGAGTGATGTTGGGAGAATCACTGAATTCTGGAATTATGGTTCATGTAAGTCCAACTATGAGGTCAAAACCTCAGGAAGCGTAGGGATGACATTCATGAAAGAACAGTGAATGTTTTATTCCACCACTGACTGATATGGGGATCGGTCAAAACCCGGCCTAGAACCCAATGCACCATTTTTTTATGCGCACGACCAACACCATGAACCGGTCGGGCAAGGTCTGCCATGGTCTGCCATGGGCCACCGGTTCCTTGAGAATTGAACAGGTTTTTGCCTCAGCCCTGATGCTTGAGGTGTACCTATGAGGTTAGCACCTTTTTGAGAGATCCCAAGTCTCTTGGCTGAGCGATCGTATGATTTTGGGGAAATGGGAGGATTCAACTAGCGGAAGTGTGGTTGCTCTTGCTGTCTTTGTCGTTGTTGTCATCCGTCTGTGTTCCTTATCTTGTCAGTTCCATTGTGCATCTGTGTGTATGCTTAGCTGCCTCTGCATACAGTACAGCTGGACCATGAAGTCACAACGGCCTGGGAAAGTTTGCGGTACAAACTGGTGCTTGGTGCCAGGGCCATGGTGGTTCCTAGCCGAAATCTCCCAAAACCAGGAACCAAAGCTCTGAGGCTTTAAGGTCCCAGGATCCTATGAGATAGTGAACGTCCTTTGCATGAATACCCAGCCCATTTCAAGCATATGAAGCACCAAACGATCCTGGTTCTGCCAGGTCAATTTTTTCTGGGGAGAGGTTTGTTCATCAGCATGAAGACTGCTTCACGGGGATCATGATGAGCTTTGGTATCGTTTTCCGCGCTGGCTGTTGTATGGTTTGTTTGTTTGGATCTTGCTTTCTCGGCACCAAGGAAGCAGAAAACCATCTTGGTGATGCCAGTGAAGCTTGGGTAAAACCAGCTAATTCAACGAACAAAGACAGAGATGAAAAGAGGACAACAACTAGATGGATGGATGCAATGAGTTTCTCTCCATGTAAGACGATCAAAGATATATATATATATTATATAGATTTATATAGTGAGTTTTCTCCCAATCGAAAGGTCCTAAATTGAAAATAGGAGAGGGTTTGGGAGCGTCATAAAGAGAAGGCCTGGGGGGTTCATGCTTGAGTGGATTGATGGAGTCTGTCTGATGGATGAAGTAACGAACTCCTTTGAACGATCTATCTATGGACTTATTTTGATTCGAGTCGATGGACAGCGGATTGGACTCCACCGACAGACTCAATGGGCAGCAATACACTATGCACTGATTTTAGGCCAAAGTATGCCAAAGTCAAAGCCTGAATATATAAGACAGGTAGCAGAAACAGTCAAGGATCATCTGAAAATATCTGAAATACTTGAGTTCGACCATCCAATCAAGTTGATCAGAGGGTTTAGATGCTATTTTGTAGCCATAACCACCGTAGACAAGCCGAGCCATTGACTTCCACGCTGCTGGCAAAAACACCTCTATTTTTGGGGAACCACAAGGGAGTGCCATTTCGGTTCCACTCAGTGCTTTCATGCTTTCATGAAAAAGACCTATCAGGCAAGGGCAAGGAATCCAGGAACTGTGACTGTCCAGCTCTTTATCCTTGAAGCTGTTTCGCATTTCCCAAGATTCCAAACCACACAGGACATCTCTCGCAAGAAGTACCACTCTGATCTTGGCTGAAGAAGCCATGGGAATTCACCCAGCAAGTGAAATTCACTCACAAACCAAGTCGTTCGCTCCAAAAGGTACCGGAAAACGCACTCGAACTGTTCTCTCCTCCAAGTCCGACTGTCCCCTTGAGCTACAAAGAAGGGGTCCCCACTGGGCCATACTTGAGTTTCCCCGCTTATCTCCCTCCGCGCGGGGTGCATGTTCCACGCTCGGTTGGGAGTCCACTTCGACTGTAACGCCAGGAAGCTGGCGGTGATTTTGTTCCTCTTCTGCATGGCCGAGCACATGGTCACCTTCGGTCAGTCCTTTTGGTCGAAGGCCATGGAGAAGGAATTGCAGACGGTGAGCCTCCAAATCGATGACATCGAGCTCCTAGGTGCCGCACCTTGACTGGGTCGAAAGCAGGTCACATGGGTGAAGGGGCGGGGAGGTAAAGATGCGAGACTGTCATGTTCTGTCTGTGGTCCGGTCAGTCCGCCTGACTGATCTCTGACCCCAAACTCCGATCCGGGCAACCCCAACTTCGTGTGTGGTCTGTTGGGGACCCCAACCCCCAACCCCCAACCCTCGGTGGTTGACTCCCGCACCCCCGCGCACCGTTTCGTTGACTCCCCGACACGTCGAGGGGCTCGGAGCCTCGGTGGTTTGGGGTGGTTTGGGGTGACAGTCACCATGGGAATCACAGAGAAACTTGGAGAATCCAGGGGTGTACTGTCTCTTTGAATTCCAGTGGTCGTTGAGGCCTTGGGGTGGAGTTCGACTTAGATCTGGATGACCTGGTGTTGCTGGATGACCTGGTTGTAGTTGTTCCCAAGGATTGCTTCGACCCCAGACCCCTGATCCGACCAAAAAGCACGGGTCCTGGGCAGTTCGACCCCAGCGCATCGGCGATAAGCTGCGAGGTTCGGGTCGCACATTTCGGACATGGTTCATGGAAAGAGACGTGAGAACCGTTCAGCCCAGACGCGACCCTGGACCCGAATCCTCTGGAGGTGTCTGGGGTCGAACCAATCCCGATCCCTATGGTTTTGAGGGACCAGTCGGGCTGTTTGGAGCGTCTGGGAGGTATCATAAAGGACGTCACTTTCGACCTGGGACGTGAAAAGAATACTAGATCGGCGAAACGACCGTTCCGGATTTGGACAACACTATGCAGGGTGCTGTCACCAGGGGTGCTGTGAAGGCGGTGGCGTCGTTTTACTTGGCATCATTGGCCGAGGAGATCGAAAATTCTCAAGCCTATGCCCATTTGATGAAATTGGCGCTCTTCCTTCCATTCTTAGCTTTCAACCCTGTGCCCCTTGGCTTGAACCCTCCATAAAGCAACGGCATGGGGGGATTCGACTTTTGCATCCCAGAAGAACGGCTTGGTGCTCGGTGTTGCTGGCAGGCCCGGTCGACACTGAAGAAGCGCGAGTACAACAAAGACATGGCACCCGTCACCGTGTCAGTCGGATTGGTGTTGCAAACCTCTTTTTGATGCGTGTATAATTTGGGTCTGTCCGACATGACCTGTAACAGTCAGTAAACAAGCAAACATGACGATTTTAGAGGTCCAGGCCTACAACCTAACCGTAATAGGATAGACTATCATAGTACCCAAGATTTATATAGTTCACTTCACGTTGGATGAGAGTCCTCCCCGTTGGATGAGAGTGACCCAGGACGTGAAGAGGGTCCCAGGGCGTGAGGACGTGAGGGTCAGAGGTACGACTGGAGCCCCAAATGGGACGCTCTTTTTGATTTCAGAGGGTGAAGTGTGTTCGATTTCCATTTCCCAGGTGTCTCCCAGGTTTCCCGAGATCTTGAGCCGGATGAAGTTGATGTTTTCTTGCGGATCTATTGTGATACCCTGACTATCCAAGCATCTATTCAGATACTTGGGCCAATCTCGTACTAGAATCTGCAAATAGCACTGTGTTTGGATTCAGGGGGGTAGATGAATGTGATGTATTTTTCTCAATCCATTTCCACCAGAAATGATGCTTGACCCTTAAGAGCAAACTGCCAATGCAGGTTGTACTACATTGGCCTCGGATTGATGTCCGACCTGCAGAAGATGCCTTCGCAGTTGCAAGACTTCCGCGTCCAGGTACGCGTGAAAACGGTTGCGCGAGCGGTGTGTGTCGGGTCCTCATCAAGTTCGTGAAAACGTTTGGAGTGTTTGCCTACAGAGGTAGCCAGTGACCTGAACTAGGACCCTCCAGGGGTACCCAACTAGGATAGTCGAACGTTCGGGTTCTGACCCACCTCTGCTGGTGGGGTTGGGGAGACGAAGCACCTGACGGGCTGGCGGTGGGCGCCTGGCGCATCAGTTGGAGGGTTTCGAATCAGCACCAGCGGGCACAGTTTGGTGTCGGTTCCGAACGGAAGAAGGAGTACGGTGGGACTAACAACCCCCAACTTCATGTGACTCCTGGCAGTTAAGCAGTTCAAATTGATCTTCAGTTGGTCAGGTCGTACGCATCTAGTCCGGTCCGGCAATCCATCTGAAAGGGTCGGGTGCTCTTCGTGGCATCCGTTGAAAGCACGCCTCTTGAATGGTTCGGCGCTTCTCGTGGTGCCCACGCAGCTGCCTGAAGGCGCACTCCACGCTTCTGCTCTCGTGCCCAGGATGCGCAGTGTGCCTGCTGTGCTTCGGGGCATCGGCATCCCGTCACCGGTGAAGCCCTGGGCTGCGACCGGGAGGCCATCTTTCAGCCCCTCAGACCAACGAAGAAGGCACAGTCGACGCGGTGCCGGTGCACGAAGGATCGGCGAAGGAGGTTGTGGGGGTGGCGAAGCATAGAACTAATCCCGTTTGGGCTCGGTGGTATTCGACCCCCCTGGCACCCACCCCAACCATCTTCTCCACGGAGGTAGGCCAGGAGCCCCAGGGAATAGTATTGCAGTGTATTTTAAGAGGGAGACCCCCAAGCAATGGCTCTGCCAACTGGCTTGGCTTCACGGGATTCCAGGGATCCATCCCACACGGCCGGCACCCTGGCACATCTGGTCGTAGACTGCGCACTGGCACGTGCGGGCGCACGGCCGGCAGCTGTTCCTTTTGCTTGAAGTATTGAAGTAAGAACCCCAAGAGCTCTTGCTATCTGGAGAAAAGAACACTTCCGGCGGGAGGATCTTTCACCAACCCCGGGTGTCCCGACGTCAGACCACTTCTGCCGAACGAGAGCCATGGGTGGACTGCAGAAACTAGAAGGGAGACACCCCAGTCAAGCTATCCTAAGCCTTTCCTACGTACAAAAATATAAACAATTAAAACACATATATCGATCTATCTATCTATCTATCGATCGATCTATCTATCTATCTATCTATCTATCTATCCATTTGTCTGTCTGTCTGCCTGCCTGGCTGGCTGTCTGCCTGTCTGCCTGTTCTGCCTGTTCTGCCAGTCTGTCTGTCTGCCTGCCTGTCTGTCTGCCTGGCTGTCTGTCTGTCTGTCCGTCCGTCTGTCTGTCGGCCTGGCTGTCTGTCTGTCTGTCCGTCCGTCTGTCTGTCTGTCCAACTGTCTATCTACACTTGAAGATTCTCATCCTGAGATCCGTAACAAATTTCAGGATCCACAGGCTACTACAATGTTATACGATCTACTATGCATCTTTTTTCGAGACATTTTGAGCACTTTTGGCAGAGTGAACCACACGAGCTCGTCATAGCTCGTCCGACTGAGGATGCTCAAGAAGTGGTACGGACAAGAAGGAGATGTGGGCGAGAGCCATCTTGAGAGCTTCAATCGACGTGTTCACGAGCCCTGACATATTTCAGCCGGTGAAAGCAATGGAATGGGAGCCGAAGCGGTTCGTCCTGGCGGCCAGGGACGGCTTGAATCATCTACGTTAAATCATTTTAAAGATGCAAATCATGTTGTAAAAATGATGCTTTAATTGCTATATGTGTGGCTTTTGAACATCTTATACTCTAAGAACAAGACGTCCCAAGACTATGGAATGAACTCCCATCCAATCAAAGAATCCGCATTTTTTTGGGGTTTTTCGTTGCTGATTTCGGACCGGATGCGGATTCGATCGTTAGAGAACGGTGATCAGGAAGTGCTAGCCCCGCGAGTGCTTCAAAGTGTGGGCAGTGATGTGCTGCCTTTCAGCTATTGCTGCCCGGCTTTTTGCGTTTTTGAGGAGGGTTCCGCTTTTGTGGGTTCAACTTCGAAGAAACGTCTGTCTTAGAAACCTGTCAGATGCCGGCCTTTTGTTGGGGTGCAGCTGCAGGTTGCAGCAAGCTGCTGGTGATTAGATTAGATGGAAGCATCATGAAGCATCATACACCGTCTCTTTTTCGCCCTAAACCGAAAGCGCCCCAGCGAGTTCATTTTGGGCCCTCACTTGACCAGGCGTCGCGACGAAAACCCGTCAAGTCTCGCAGCACGTGATGGCGAGACTGGAAACGAGAAGCAAGAGCACCAAGAGCACGAGGGGATTGGGGGAACCTGTGCGTTCCACTAGGAGCATAAACTGGCAAGGCCATCATCCAATTCTGGAGAATAGCTGGCTGTTATAACCACTATACAGACCATCTCCAACAAGCGCACCCACAAGCATAAACTTGGATCAACAACAGTTTATTCAAGGTCGAGAGATGCCCACATCTGAATTATATAGACTTTGTAGTTGATTGTCAAGCGGTCACAGACAATAGCGCAAGAGCAAGAGGTCAACAATGGTTGGTCCATCCAATCTCTAGAGGCTCCAAAGGTAGCAGATCATCTAACCAAGGATGGCCTTTGATGCACTCCCTTGGCTGCTTGATTTATGGGAAGGGGATGCCCCCTATTGTGTGAACAAGTTGGCTAGGTCGATGATGGTCTATAGTATCTGGCAGGCAGCCCCTCAATTTCCCCAAATCATTGAATCCAATCCTCCCAAGTCTGGATCTACACCCCCTTTCCCATGAGCAACAGCATCCTCTTGAAAACCGCCTCTTCTGCCAGGCCTCTACATGATTTCCGTCTCGAAAGTTCCTCAATTGTGCAGCTTGATTCCCCACTTGGCCGCCGGTCCCGCCAATGACCTGGCCGCCCGTGCCCACTTTGCCAGCGCTGACCTGTCGGAGGCCGCGCGCTGGGCTCAAGCTGCCTGGGCGCTGCGCCACGTGATGACCTGGGCCACTTGGAACGCGCCGAGCAACTCGAGCCGATCGAACCGCGTCGGGCTTCGCAGCGGAGGAGCCGCGGGGGAGCAGCGCAGCGCTTTTCGTTAAAGGCTTCGGCGTCTCGCTTTTGTTGGATGGATGGGAAGGGATTGTTAGGGGGAGTGTTTTCTTGCATCACCATGGTGGACTCATGTGCCTGGGTGTTTTCTGGGTCATCGTCTGACCAAGTGGACCTATAGTAGGCTATCACTATCGTTAGCCATCATTGCTCTGACCCGTGGAACATCGGGCGGGTTCTTGGAACATCCCGTGTGGGTTTTCCCGGATCCAGAAGGCGTTGCGGAGCGCCTTGAGATGCGGAGCGCCGTCTTTTGGGGGGTCTGACATCGGAGGGACACCGAGCTGTGTCTGATAGAGGGAGTCTTTCCATCTGGTGTTCCCATGTGTTTCATCACTCATGTAGTTTAAATATGGGATCATCTATACTTCTCTATCATATAAGCAACGACACTTAGATCTAGACTTGTCAATATAAGCAACGACACTTAAGAGCTTCCCAGAAGCCCTGGCCTTCCTTCCTCAAGTTTGGATGGGCGAAGTAGCTGCCTAGCTGCGGTGGATACGACCCAATGCCCACGGAACAGACCCTTCCCTTTTCCAACCACCCCTGGCCTGCTCAGAGATGCCAGACATGGAGTGTCTGGGATTTGGCTGGCATTTTGTCTGGGTTTTCCAGAATTTCGTTGTCTTTTTTTTGAGAATTTTGTTTTTTTCCGGATGAATTGGTGTTCATCCAGCGAGCTCCCGCTACGTTTTCTGCGACAACCCTCAGGCGATGGATGGCGTGGCGGCGCTCTTTTGGGTTCGCCTCAGCATGCGTTTGTGGCGCTGGGCCGTGGATTTGGGCCTGGTTGGCAAGTCCAAAGCCCGCAAGTTGGCATCCCGGATTGCAGAGCTTTTTCAAGCGGTGCTAGTTTGGGGAGTTGGAAGCTGTGCTTTTGGTGGGGGTTTGGAAGCTCCTTTGGAGTGTTTGTATGTTTGGACATCATCTGAGTCTAGATTCCAGATGATGGAATGCATTGGGGATTTTTCATCCGGCCGTAAAACACATGCTCCGGGTTCCGATGGCTTCGATTTCCGCAGCAGACGCGAAAAAGCCGAACGAAGCGAGCTTATGAAGATTTAGAGGATGATGTTTTTGGGCACCGTTGCTGGGGTGAAAAACCGGGATCACAAAGACATTGCAGCCTTGGAACGTCTTGGAATCAGGCAGATCCCCAGACCGTCGGTCCTCTTTCAACGCTTTGACTCCTTCTCAAGTCAAAGCTCTTTCAGACTTGGCAGAAAGATTCTTCAAACGCATTCAGTGGATGGTTAATGTGGCCCTCAGATTTATAAACCCCCCTAGAATTATGTCTTTTTTTTTCCCTGCACTGATTTATAAAGGCCCCTAGAATAATGTCTTTTTTTTTTGGAGGGGTAGTTGTAGTGTTTTTTTTTAATTGTTATAGTTTACTTTTTCCCTTTTGAATTTGCTGGGATTTGCTTATCTTACAGGCTTTTGGATTGAGATTTCTATTAAACATTTGGAGATTTCCATTGAGATTTGATTCTTTTGGAGGCTTTTGGATGGAGATTTCTATTCAAAAAAATGAGATTTCCATTGAGATTTGATGCTTTTGGATGCTTTTGGATCCCTTATTTCAAAGTATTAAAAAACAAAAAAATCATTCAAGCAAAGGGGGTAGTCCAGCAAGCAGCTTTCTG